TGTCTTTTCATTCTTCATTGTGTTGGATTGTAGGTTCCATACTTCCCAACCAATGTCATACAAAATTACAATAATGGGTGTAGTAGTCGACAAGGGAAGACCAAGACCTGAAGAAAAAAGTTAGCTTAGGTCTTTCTTACAGAGTTGTAAATCCTTCCACGTGGTGAGTGTGGAGGTTGCAAATGTTCCATAAAAGCGTAAGTTGTAAAGTTCTATATTTTATATTCAAATAAATGCCTTTGATCTTTTCTTCCCCATCTTCTGTTTCTTGTATGGAACTATAGGCTATGGAGTGACAGGAAGCTATTGGATCAAGATAGGGGAAATAAAATGAATGGTCCATAGTAGATCCCATCATTTGCCTTGATCTTTAAACAGCAGAAGGGGGGAAGATAATTAAACTGTTTGCATTCAGAGTTTCACTGGTTCTTTGTCCCTCTTCCTTATATGATGGATCTCAAGGAACTTTTAAACTATGGTTTCCAGAATTTGCAAACCTGAAACAGGTCCATAACCCTCTAGAAAAATCAAAGGTTCAAAGGGAATTGGAGGAGTAGTTTCCCTTGCCCTCTCTTCCCCAACTACAAGATACAGAGCAGAATAGCTACTCTATAAATTGTGTTTACCTGATTTCCGTCCTACCCATTCTCTTGCTTCTCTGCCTATTTCTTCAGTTTATGTAGTTAGTCCTCAACTTATGATTACAGTTGCGCCCAGAATTCATGTTGCTAAGTGAGACATTTGTTAATGAGCTTTGCCCCATTTTACAACCTTTCTTGACACAGTTGTTAAGTGATTCACTACAACTGTTAAATTAGTAAAACAGTTTTTAAGTGAATCCGGCTTCCCCAATCATTTTGCTTATCAGAAGGTCACAAAATATGATCACATAACCCAGGGAAACTGCAGCTGTCATAAGTATGAATCAGTTGCCAAGTGTCTGAAATTTGATCATGTGACCATGGGGATGCTGCAACAGTCGTGAATGTGAAAAACGGTCATAAATCATTTTTTTCAGGGCGGTTGTAACTTCAAATGGTCACTAAATGAATGGTTGTAAATTGAGGACTCCCAGTATGCTGCCTCATTTCTAAAGACAGAGCAGATTTGTACTCTTATTTCTAGAAAGAACACTTAACGTGTCAGGAAGCAAATGTAATCCTTTTAACTAGGAGAAGTTTTAACAGTATTATGATTACTGAAATTTTGCATATGGGGAAGAGGAAATGAAAGGATTTTGCTAAGATCCTGCTGAATCAGTGGCAAAATGGAAAAACAGGAATATATTCTGTAGAAAATAGATATTAGCTGCTTTTGGATCTATGGGAAGAGATATCTGTATCCTTTATCACATTCCATATGTTGATCTTGGGGTTTAATCTCATAGTCCAACTTTCCTCAACCTGGTGGCCTTTAGATAATTTTGGACTATTCATAATCAGAACTCTGAGGCATCTTTGCGACTATATTCCTATCTTCTCATTGTCATTCCCATCCTTCTTATTATGCAAAAACATGACAATGGCCTTTTGGGAGAAGAACACATGCTTGGTTTTCTGATTAAATATTTCTGAAATAGCAAAATGGTTTTTCAGGTAAATTCGGATCAAGCTAAAAGCTACAACTAGCAGGTTGGTTTGAATTTAGGCAATGCAGTTTACAAAGTTCAGTCATCATGTGATGAAAACACATCATTTTAAGTTGAAATATGATCCCTAGCCCACCTCAAGAAGTGTGACTTTGTCTTACATGGTTTAAACAGAAGGCCTTTTATCACATGCCTGGTGTTAATCAGTTCTTCGATGCAGCAGTGTCCCAGGACCTTGGAATCCTTTGTATTATCTTCATTTAGAGAGGATAAAGAGTTTCTTTGCTAGAGATAGTCATCCTGTACTGATAATGGCTTTACTGGCTGAGAGATGTCCCTCATTATCAGGCCAGCATGGCTTCATGGCAAAGACCTACCATCTTTTGCTCAGTCAATTATACCTGCATCTGTTGAGGCCAGTCAGCCTCTGGTTTTTGTCCACTGCCATTTAGTCATGGATCTTTTCAATAAGAACAGATTGTTCTCTTCTCTAGAGGTCTGACCCTTAATTGTGTATTCTCTTTTCAGGGCTATATAACTGTTTTGCCTCAAATTATTTGGACACTAAAGCTTATCAGCTTCCAAGTCAATTATGAGAGATTTTTCTTTCTTTTTGGTTATAAAATTCATGGGACCACGTTAAATAGCCACAATCTTAACACTGCTACAACTAACATGTATATATAAGGCTGTTCTCACAAAAGAGTTGGAGCCAGCTTCTTTGCCAATTAGGCATCCTGCTATGGGTGGTAATCTCTGTTCTACTTTCTTTGCATGTGCATAAGATAATTCCTCCTCTTGTTTCTCCTTGTGTCAAGGAATCCTTCCATTCATGGTTGACTTCAGGCAGTTTCCCCAAAGATGCTTCCTTTATGCCTCTGCCGGATCCACAAGGTAGATAGACTAAGACAGCAATATCATATAAGTCAGAACTACTTTTATTGTAGTAGTTATAGTAACAGAATCTTGCAAGTCTGAACATATTCCTTCCCCCCCCCACACACACACACTGCCAGCTTCTTCATGTGAACTAGGTAGGGCTTGTTTGTCTGAGGCGTTTTCTCAAATTAGTTTCTGCTCCAGGCTCCAGCCCCATTTATCTGACTGTTGCCTTGTAGTGACTCTTCCTCCTGTCTTTCAAGGTCATTTCCTATACCCTCTACAACCTCCCTCCCTTATGCATGTTCTCACCATCACTATTTCCATTTCCTCCACACCCTCTGCATCCATTCTGGTCCAGCCATGAAGCATTGAGACACACTCATGAACGTGAGGCACTTCTAAGATTGTCTTTGTCATCGGTCTACTTGTCAGTCTTTCAAGGTAGACCAGGTCAGGAAATAAATACAAGAAATGCTGGAACTCTTTTTTTATTATTATTATTATAGGATATACAAAAGCCTATGTACATTTTCTCTCCCCTTATGCCATAAAGCAGGGGTGTCAAACTGCTGGCCCACAGGCCAGATGCGTCATGCTGAAACCGCACCCACCCCATTGCCGGTAATGGAAAAAAAGTTGCGATACGTTGCGACACGTCACATGATATTGCGAGTTTGACATCCCTGCCATAAATAATCAAGTCATAGGGTAGTCTTGATTTTTTTTCCTCATCCTTTCCTATCTGTTCAGTCTTAGCTCATGCTCACCTAATCATTTATTGAATTCCTCCTTCAAGGCCATCCCCCTATTTCTCTACTTGACCTTAAATAAGCTTGAACTCAGCTGAAGCTTTCCAGAAACTAAACACCAAACACTGCATGGATATGACAGAATTATTATTGTAACATTCTGAGAACAAAAGTATATGCCACTTCCATTGTTGGATTTTTATGCAGCTTAATGAAAATACTTTGAGGAATTTAGCTAAAAACGTCAGTTTTATCCCATGTCATGCCAGGTCTTTCATATTTTAGCTTTTCTCTTTCATCTGAAAAAAGTGATGCGTGGCTCCACTAACATTCATAAAAAGCCACGATGACATCAGAATGACCATATGCATCATGACATGATCATGCAAATAAGAACTGATGCAAGTATGTTGAGTCCCTTGATTTATGTGGTAATGGATGCATAGTTGTTATTTCCTTACCCTCCCACACCCTTGTTGAATGCCATGTTTGGTTTCCATGACAATATATCTCCTCCCTTTTTCCTTTGCAAAGTGGCCCTTTTCTTTCCCTCCTGACCACAGTATTTCATGGAAAGCCTAGTATATCCCTGCTGTTTGTGACTTGGAGCTTTCCTGTGATATCTCAGTGTTCATGTCAAAAACCTTTGAGTACACTGAGGTACAGCTCCACCTTTCAACTCCTCCCTAGCTAGGAGTTGAAAATGATTTGATGGCACTTTTATTGCTAGACTTAATGGAATAAGTAGGAGTGATTGTAAATAGGTGATCCCTAAAATAACCCTGCTGTGAAGGGCTTATAGGTCAATCAATCAGGCATGGTGATAGAATCTTGTTTTTAAGATATTGCAAATGGCCAACAATGTTGGGGCCAATCTAATGTTTGTGAGAATGATGTGTCTTCCAAACAGCAGGCCCCTTAGCAAAAAAAAGTTCTCATTCTGGGTTCTATCAGATGGCATTCCCTAATAGATGGGACCCGGAAAGCGCTTTTAACGCTGGACCTAATGGGATGGGTAGGAGTGATTGTAAAGTGGTGGTCCCTAAGATAACCCAGCCTTGTGTCATGAAGGGCTTATAAAGCTATCTTGAACTGCGCTAGAAGTACACTGGCAAAAAATATAGCTTGTGAAACAGAGATGTAATATGCACTAATCAAGGAAGACACGAAGACACATAACTGTCTGTGCAGCTACATTTTGTACCAGCTATAACTTTTTCAACCAGGCAAACCTTTTCCTTTTCTTAAAAGTTTTTATAGCACCTTTCATTTGAGAATCTATTGGAAATTACATCGTGGCTAAGTTAGTGGTAATTTCTTAAACAAGGTCCAAATATTTTGTCTAAATTAGAATGGGATTCAAGATGATTTTGGGGTCCTATAGAGTTTTATAGACTTTACTGCCAGAATACGAATTACTCAATTTGAAAAGCTAGAGTTAATAGTTAATAGCCACAGATTTTTCTGCTTGCTGTTCTCTTGATGTCAAAAAGGATCAGCAAATCTCGGCTGCAAGTTGGAAAACACACACACTCTCTCCCTCCGTCCCTCTCTCTCTCTGTCCCTCTCCTCTCCCCTCCCCCTTCTCCCCCCTCTCCTCTCCTCTCCTCTCCTCTCCTCTCCTCTCCTCTCCTCTCCTCTCCTCTCCTCTCCTCTCCTCTCCTCTCCTCTCCTCTCCTCTCTTCTCCTCTCCTGGCTGTCTAGTTATTTTATAAACACTCAAGTTATATGTTTTCACATATTGGAAAAATATGAATTTTTGTTGTCTTCCTCCCTTCTAGACTGGAGACCTGCTGTGATGCTGGGAGCTATAGATTGTGCTGATTTTTCCAATAAGAACGCCTGTTATAAATTTGGAATAAAGAGCTATCCCACTGTGAAGGTAAAAATTCTGTTGATGAGGGTTACGATTCCTGTTCTCTCCAACCAGCATGATTTTGGGAAGTTATAGGCCAGCATCCCAGGAATAGTTGATCTAGATCTTTTTGCTCCATTTGGAACCAGCATTAGATTTTGCATAGCAAAATCTGGTAGAGAGGCATACAATACCATCTGGTATATTCTTTAAGGAAGTTGGAAGCACTTGTACCTGATGATCTCTCAGGAGGGGCAACTTGCAGAATCCCCAAACCCTCTTTTTGTGTCCTTTAGAAATTTGTGTAGCTGAATTCAGATGGCAAACTCTTCAGAAGGGCTACATGATTTCTTCCTGGAATTTTTGGTGGGGGGAAAAAAGAGAAAAATTGGCACTATACACTTCAATGATCTCACTAACATGTTAGTGGCCACCCTTTTATCTAGTGCAGTGATCCTCAACCTTTCTAATGCCGTGACCCCATAATACAGTTCCCCATGTTGTGGTGACCCCCAAGTGGGTGTGGCCACCAATAAGAGGGAGTAGGACAGCTAGGGAAAAGGGAAAAAAATGGCGGACAGCATGGTTTGGTGACCCCCGTGAAATGGTCATTCGACCCCAAATGGGGTCCCGACCCACAGGTTGAGAACCACTGATCTAGTGGTTAGTGATTATTTGTACTGTGCAAATGTGACTCTTACCACAGCCAGAAACAGACATGGATCCAGATTGCAAGTAGCAGAAGACAATCTAAAGACAGTTCACTGCCTTGCAGTTCATAGGCCAAAATGAATCCCAGATAATAGGGTTAGAGGGTGCCCTAGTCGTCATTAAAGACTTTATTTATGAGGAATCAAAACTTTGATGAACCTAAGTGATTTTGTCGGTGAAATACTAACTATACAATTAGTTACAATAGCCAAATGGGAAATTTCTCTCTTAACTTTTTCCCTAAAAGAGAATTAGAAACTCTGAACAGGACTAACGGATGACAATTATTGACTCAATTAGAGAAAAAAGGAGCTTATTACTGCTTTAGTGAAGACCATACTTCGTTGGATTTATGTTTTATCTTTCTCTGTTGGTACTCCTGATACCATTTTTGGTTTCCCAGGGCTCTAAAAGGGGCACCATAAGGTTAATCTTATTCAGTATCCAGCTTGCCTCCCATTGCAGTGGCACGTCAGGTATTGAACTAAACAGCCCACCAGAGATCTGAGAAACTAAGCTCTCTGGAAAGCATTTGAATCTATTGGGTGCTTGGGAAAGTCTATTAGACTGGGTCCCCTCGCCTCAAGGAGGTTTTTAGGTGATTATACATCACATCTGGAACATCTGGATCTGCTCATAGCAGACCTCTTAATCACTTTGAGATAAAAATGAGGTCTGATATATGCCTGCCTAGATGTTTCGGCCCTGAAATTAAAGAAAACAATTGTTACCACAGAATCAGGAACTTCTAGGCTTTGTTAGAGCCAGCCTCCAGCACATGGGGGTTGAAAGCCCAACACCAAAAGATGGGGGTTAACTACCAGCCCTGAATCCTGCCAGGCAATACACCTGTAAAATCCCCAGCTTGCCTCCACAGCTGCACTGAACATGCAGAAACTCCTATCCCAGTATCTCAGGAGCAAAGTCCTTGATCCACAGGTAAGGTACCACATCAAAGAGACACCTTCTCTGACCTTGGTGCTGATCTTACTGAAAGACACAAAACTCAGCTGAAGATATTTCAAATAAAGCAACATTGTTGCCCTTGGCCAGCCAGGTTTCAGGTGCCAGGTCTGCCACCCCTTTCACAAACAGTTTATGGATATAGGTGATTTTCTGCACCCACAAACTGTTTGTAAAAGGAGTGGCATATTTGCTAGCACCTTGAAGCCAAACCTTCAGCAAGCTGGCCATATAGCCTCTAAGGATGAGTGGTTGGGTTGAAAGTTGAGATAGTTACCAGTTTGAAATGTAGAAGTTTACTGTGCACTATGGATTTTATGGATTAGACACAGCTTGCATTATTAGATTACTTCCATATTGTTGATTGGTTGGCTGGAGGGAGCCAGTGCGTACTTCTGAGATTCATTGTAGTTGTTGAAAAGAATGCTAATATATAGTAATGGTAGACATCCATGGATTCAAATTTATTTCTTGGCACCAAAGAAGCTGCATCATTGGATGCCCTTTGGTAAATCTGCTTCTCCTGAATCAAAGCTTTCCTTTGTTGAAGGTATATGAGATAGTATACACCTACAGAATGTTGCCCAGGATCCTTGTTCCTGAGGTTTTCACTGTAAAGAAACAGAACAGAATCCTACTGCCTCAATTTTTATGGGAAAAAGCAAGTAAATTAGGCTTGGAAGGGAGGAAGCTGATAATAATAGACAAAGATGGTAGTTCTCTTTTTAGAATTTATGACCCTGCATCTGAATTAATCCTCACCATGCAGTTATTTAAGAAGAAAAGCAATCTTATCCATCTCCAGGAACTTGCCTCATCTAACCTTAACTTTCTTATTTACATATATAAGTGTTCTTCTTTCCCTTTATTTCCTGGGTTTACATTCAGTTTTTGTTACACGCTGATGTGGCATTTTCTGCTTCCTTTTTCTTGTATTTTGTTAAATCTCTAAAGCCTGACCTATTGCACAAGCTCTTGATTTGTGTACATTTGATCAGGTGGAAAGCACACAGCTGGCAGGACATGTTATAAACCTCTCCAAAAGAATCAACATCGGAAAGAGAAGGCATATTTGCTTGGTAATTGAGTTCTGTTACTTTGCCACTGGTAGCTTAGGGATGAATTTTTCCCACGGAATAATTAGAGACTTAATTTGCAGTTTTATTTCAAATGAGTGATAAATATATTTTGGAGGAGATATAAAAACGGGCAAAAAAGATAAATATACACCTTAGCACACACACACAAAATTACATCCTCATGCTCAGATATGATACCTACACGGAGGGAATGTAACTCCCTGAGACAATATAGTTTGAGATTTTCTGGAACAATTTTATTGCAAATCAGTTGGAGAACTCATTTTGTGTGTGTGTGTGTGTGTGTCTGTTAAATTAGAAACAGTTAGGATACTGGAAGTAGTTTACATAAGATACATACACCATCTCATACTACTTGTACTTTTTAAGATCTCAAAGAACTTTCTGTTCTATATTAGAAAAATGTGGAAACCCCACAGGGTGCAGCATATACATCAGAGTGTTTGAATCAATTAGCAGTTTCCTGAGTAACACATAACCCATAACACAAATGTAGCTATCAAGTTGGAAACCAATGGAGCTCCTGGTAAGATGAATTAAGTCTTCTATAATTCTGTTTTATTTATTTATTTATTTATTTATTTTATTAAAGCTACATTATTTTTCTTGAGGATGCTTTTCCAGTTCTGTCATTACATCCTTCCTATTCAGTGACCAGGATTCTTTGGTTGCTTATCTGCAGCTGAAAATGGGGTATTTTTTTCTGGATTTGTGGGGAAATTCCCTACTTGGCAAGGAGGAGGAATCAAGTGGCGAGTAATCCTAGAATTTTTTGCACAGTCATGAGAGATCCAGGACTACTCCCCCCCCCCCAAGCTCCATGGAACCTTATCTATCTGTTCCCAGAGAAAGACAAGCAGTCTGGGGAGATTCCTGTATAATAGGTAGAATTGCTTGAACTTGAACTCTTCACATGTTGATTGTTGCCTGGGCCTGACCGGATCCCAGAACAGAATGCAGTAGAATTGAAAGAAGCATTTTAATTTTAATTTATTTTTAAAATAACAATTCACAGGGATTTTTAAATCAAAGTATTATATACACAATGATTTAACAAAAGGACAGTTTTAAACAGAAAGATATGGGTAGATTGATTGATTGATAATATGCCATCAGGTTGGTATTGATTTTTAGCGACAATATAGGAAGATTTTCTTCATGATGATCTGTTCCTAACCTAGTTTTTCAGATCTTCCAAAAGTGAACAAAGAGGGAAGATATCAACAAAAAACAGCCTTGGTAATTTTTCCCGGTCTCAATCTGTATACTTTTCTCCCAGCTTGTAGGCTGATGAGTGAGAACTTCAGATTACAACTGGGCAATTGTGTTGCTTAACATATTACAAAAGCAATGTTTAAAAGCAGAATCTAACAATGTGGTTTATTTCTTTCCAGTTTTTCAAGAGGTTCTCCCAGAAACCTGAGGATGGCATAAAATTCAACAGTATGTACCATATGCAGAGCTCTTGTCAGTAAAGTGGCAACCAAATAAATTGTCTCTTTTTATACCCAAGGAAAGTCATGCTTATCAAAGCGAGAGATGATCCACCATGTAATATGACTGTTATTGTAATGCAGTTTCTTTGAGACATCTCATTCCTTTTCCACACTTCTGTTACATATTTCATTTGGGCAAGTTATTTCTGGCCTTCTCAGATCAGCAGATTGGGACTTCCATTTTGAGATGCCAAAATTCTGCATCCAGATAAATAATATGGGTTATGGGTAAATCAGAACCTGATTAACCTATTTAGAAAATAACATATAGATTGACTTTCTCTTGAGTATTAAGGTTAAAATCTACAGGCTTAACATTGTTCAGAATAAACACATGCTTTCTTTTTGTTTTGAACAAAATTGAACTATAACCAGTTGTGGTTGGGTTTTACATTTCCAGATAAACTATGTGAATGCTGGCTTATTTTCTCCTTACCTGGATGAAGACTTAGCTATAACCTAAATATTTATATAATAGCAGCTTTCTGTCTCTAGGGATAACCAAAGAGTATTTCTCTTTGAAGAAACTTAAGAATCTGTAACAAAGAATTCTTAGCCTGTTCATTAGGCTGCAATATGGACATGCCATGGTGTGTGTGTGGGGGGGGGAGGGACATCATAGATTAAAAAAAAAAAGCTCCAGAAGAAGAAGCAAAATCTAAAAGCAAAGTAAAAAGTGCTAATCCATTGCAAAGGCCAGCGTCTAAGTTCATCTCCTTATGAACGCCAATAGATGCTGTTGATTGCTTCTTGAACTACAGGAGGATCAAACACTTATTCTTCCTTTATTGGTGATACTTGTTAGACAACATTGGTGAAGTTCTTAGTCAAGAGAATTACTCAGACTCTCTGTAGAGGGAATCCCTCTTCAGGAAGTACTGTACTCTGGGATGAGCCATGTAAGAATTAAGTTGGGAGTGGCTCCTTGGCCAGAAGGATTATGTTTGAGTGGTTAGACTCAGTTTCTCATGTTTATTTTTGTCCCTCAATTCTCAACTGAAAATTGAACTTTAGGGGGATACAGCAGGCATAGAGAGATATTTGCTGGGACAAATGAGCTACTGTAAACCTATTGGTGACTGGAACTTATCTTCCTCTAAGCAGCAGTTCAGGGAGGAAAAAACGGCTCAGTTCCTCTTGTTTAGAGGTTTGATCTTGAAAAAAATCTATAAAGGTTATTTTCATGATGTGATCGTTTCCTGTGTACTCTCTCTACATGGATACATATGATAGTCTAATCAGAAAAAAAGGAATCCTTGTACTTAAGCAGTTGGAAAGCATGTGTCGGCAACAGTCCCCAGTAATCAGGTGGTAGAAGCTGCTGGGACTTTGCCCATGCATGATATCTTCTGGGGTAACTTGAATTATTTTGAGTTACCTTGATCTAGTCATACTGGTTAACTGAGATTTCACAATGGTATGCTCTCTTTCCTGTACAGATAATGAAAAAAACATTGAATCTCTAAGAGGGACCATAATCACTTTAATGGAGAGTCATGAAGATACGTGGCCTTCTGCCAGCCCACCTCTGCGGCCAACAAGGTAATTTGAAAAGAGATTGCAAGACAAACTATCCCTTTTAAGCATCAGTATGCATGCCAGATATTTTTCCTTCAACCCAACAGAATATGTAAACTGAGCATTTACATTGCATTAGATATTTGAAGTGCTTCATTACAACAATCTTATAACATAGAATGTTGTTGTTGCTGTTAATTATGAAGTCGTGTCCGACCCATCGCGACCCCATGGACAACGTTCCTCCAGGTCTTCCTGTCCTCTACCATCTTCTGGAGTCCATTTAAGTTCACGCCTACTGCTTCAGTGACTCCATCCAGCCACCTCATTCTCTGTTATCCCCTTCTTCTATTGCCCTCAATCTTTCCCAGCATTAGGCCCTTCTCCGGTGAGTCCTTCCTTCTCATTAGGTGGCCAAAGTATTTGAGTTTCAACTTCAGGATCTGGCCTTCTAAAGAGCAGTCCGGGTTGACCTCTTCTAGGACTGACTGGTTTGAACGCCTTGCAGTCCAGGGGACTCGCAGGAATCTTCTCCAGCACCATAGTTCAAAAGCCTCAATTTTTTGTCGCTCAGCCTTTCTTATGGTCCAACTTTCACATCCATACATTGCAACTGGGAAAACCATGGCCTTGACTATACACACTTTTGTTGGCAGGGTGATGTCTATATTTGGCAGAAAGTATCAGATCCCTGTACCAAAGGAGATCTAAAATCATTTATGAGAAGGATAACAGAGAAATGGAAAAAAAAATAGAGACTATAGTGAATCAATGTGAACAGATAAATCTGGTTTGTGATTTGTACTGCTGCATGTGTATTACCTAGATGTGTGTGTGTGAGTGTGTGAGTGAGAGAGAGGGAGAGAGAGAGAGAGAGAGAGAGAGAGAGAGAGTATATACACACACACACACACACACACACACACACATCTTCCATGTTGAAAAATCATCATGGAGAATTTGCCCATGCCAGCAAACCATTTTAGAAAGTCACCTGACAGTGGGATGGATGACATATAAGTTTTATAAATAAATAAAATAGAACATTTAAAAATGAGAACAATGTATATATTTAATTAAAATCAGCTTGTACTGTGCTGCATGGATTGAAAGTACATTATTAATTATTTATGTGATTGTTGATCTTGATAAAATAATATCTAACAATTGTAGAAAAATATTTTAAAAATAGCTGTTCTTTCTGTTTTCTGGAAGGTTTCTAATATTTTTATGTTGACTAGGTTTTTGAATAGTAATAGAAGATGATGTTACATCACAGTTATTATCAAGTCAGAAGGCTACAGGAATTGATGAAATATTTATAGAAATATTGCAAATATTTTAACCAAATTGCAAGATTTTAACCAAGTTATGGGAGCAAATATGGACATAGTGGTTACCATATTGAAGAGATCAGTCTACATATTGAGACCAAAGAAAGGAGACTTAACAGAGTGTGTGAACTATCACACAATAGCCTTAATTTCACATGCTAACAAAATAGAATCATCCAATGCAGATTAGAGCCCTAAATAGAAAGGGATGTGTCAGATGTTTAAGGTGATTTTAGAAAAGCATAAGAAGCCCAAGACATTTTTGCTGATGCACGCTGGATAATTGAGAAAGCCAAAGAATTCCCAAAAGAGGTCAATATTTTTTTCACTGATTACCAAAATGCCTTTGATTGTGTCAACCCAGATTCTTCTCCGCCTTGTGAAAGATTACTGTAGGAAGAATATTGTAATGTTGCTTGTCTTACAAAAGAGATTATGTCTTACTTCTATAACCCAAGTTATAATTGCCTTTGATAAAATCTTTATTCAGCTCGATTTGCCTGATTCTGGGTGGCTCGCAGTACATGAACCAGTATAAAAAGAATATCATGGAAACAACAGACAATAAAACCAGGCTCCAATGAAAAAAATGAAGAGCAAATGACAAACCCCAAACCATCTTATCAGTGACTAATATCCAGGAAAGGAGGCACCAGCCTCCTTGGGAGAACAGCCATAGTCCCATAAAATAAAGCAGGTGTACCCTTAACTAGGAGAGCCTTGTCAACAATGGGCAGTCAGCTGCCCCTCTTTATCTGGTTAATCAATTAGTTATGTAGACCCACAGATGCTGGTCATACATTCTAAAAAGAGAACTACCATCTTTTGTCTATTAATATCAGCCTCCTCCCTTCTGTGGCCCACCCGAACGTCATGTTTGTTTGTGCAGAACTGTATAACTTAGTTTTCCTCAGATTTGCACTTCCCTCCAGATATGTTGAATGAAAATTTCCATCTTCCCCAACCAATATGTTCTTAAGTAAATTTTGTATTTCATCATCAGGGCTGATTTCCACATTGTTGTTGAGTCCCAGAAATGAAGACTAGATGACCTCCAAGGTCCCTTCCAACACCAACATCATCATTACTATTATTATTATTATTATTATTATTATTATTATTATTATTATTATTATTATTAAGAAAGCAGCAGGTTTCTTTTCAAAGATTCTGCAATTTTATCCTTCTCTGACCATTAATAGTTTAATTATATTTGTTTATTTCTAGTTTTATTTTGTGGAGAGAAATATCCATTCATAATACGCTCATATTCTCTTGTAAGGAATTGAGTGATTAGCAGAACTGACATTTCATTATTTGGTGTTGTATGTTTTGCAGATAACTATCAGCTCACAAACTTAGAATATTACGTATGATTCATTTTATAATGTTTATAAACAGTGACTCAGTAAATGATGTGTAGTTGTTAGAACAGTGCTTATATAAACATTGAAAGACAAGTTATAGCTTATAGTATTTGAATAATATTATAGTGTTGTAACAACTGCTCATTTACTAAATCATTGTCTATAAATCATCTTGAGACTTCTATACACCTATCAGACTTCTTAATATCTATAAAGTAGAGTTTGAGTATTTCTTGTGGTTTTCTGTTTCTTGACCTAATCTATCTTGAAGACCTAATGACAACACACTGGACAATCAAACCTATTGATTTTTCATTTAAAAAATGTTTATGCATTAGAGCTGATAGTTCACTTGGAATGTGTGATGAGGCTTTTTCTTACCTTGGTGGACAAGGATTAGAAGAATGCAAATACGTTGAAGTGATCAAGGAAACCTTGGATAGACATCTTAGTAAAATCTGACATTTTTTGCTTGGCAAAGGTTTAACATAAAAATGTATACAAAAATGTGACTGTAAAGCTCCTGTAAGGATGCAAGCCTAGAATGACTTGAATACCTAGACATGGGAGACATACCAGATTGGATTTTAGCTGGCTGTGGGTTATTTATTTATTTATAGAAAGAGTACAGAGAAGAGCAACAAAGGGACTGGAGGCTAAAACATATAAGGAACAGTAGCTGGAATTAGGTATGTCTAGTTTAATGAAGAGAAGGACCAGGGGTGACATGATAGCAGTGTTCCAATATCTCAGGGGTTGCCACAAAGAAGAGGGAGTCAAGCTATTCTCCAAAACACCTGAAGGCACGAAAAGAAGCAATAGATGGAAACTAACCAAAAAGAGAAGCAGCCTAGAACTAAGGAGAAATTTCCTGACAGTTAGAACAATTAATCAGTAGAACAACCTGCCTCCAGAAGCTGTGAATGCTCCAACACCAGAAGTTTTTAAGAAGAGACTGGGCAGCCATTTGTCTGAAATGGTATAGTGTTTCCTGCCTGAGCAGGGGGTTGGACTAGATGACCTCCAAGGTCCCTTCCAACTTTATTATTATCTTTGCCTTGCTTTTTCTCTGATTCTAGAATTAGAGATAAATTTATAAAAAAAAACTCAAAACAATTACTCATAATTATTTAAAACTGATTAAGCTAAAAAAGCATACTTTCTTATGTTCTCTTGAAAAACATTACAGGTAGTCCTCTACTTATGACTACAATTGAAACTGAAATTTTGTTCGCTGGGAAGATTTGCAAATTGCGATCACGTGACCACAAAACACTTCAACTGTGAAAAAAATCAAGCCGGTTGCCAAGTGCCTGAATTGTGATCAGATGACTTGCAGGGGTGGTGCAGTGGTTATAACTAAGAGGACAGGGAAGCTGGAGACCATGAGTTCAATTCCCGTTTTAGTCATGAAAGTCAACTAGATGTCCCTTTGGACCAGTCGATCTGTCTCAGCCCAACCCATCTCACAAGATAGTTGTTGTGGGGAAAATAGAAAGAAAGTGTATTGGATGTATTCACCACCTTGACTTATTTCTAAACTAATAAAAGGCAGGATGCAAACAAATAAAAGCAAGCAAAAAGCAAACTTCAAACTACCATTAAATCAATCACTATCTTGTCAAAAGGAGAAAAAAAAGAGTCCTAATTACCGGAGGAAGGATATTTAGAAATAGTGATTTCTCCAGACTCACGATGTGTTTTCTTCCTTGCCCTGGCGGTATTTTTTTTTTTTTTAAAAAAATCCACCAGAAATAATACCCTATCTTGGTTCTCTGCCCCAACTCCATAACATACATCTCACCTATTTCAGGACATGTTGGTTTTGCATTTCAATGTAAAAATAATCTTAAAATGAGATAAACCAGACTTTTTCAACCTGGGTACACTGTCAGTACTGGATGATGAAGGCTGGGGTTGATACCAATACAATGGGATAATGGCTATCTGAAGGAATGCTGATGAAAGCCCTAGTTAGATTTTATGGAGGTGGAAACTTGGCACAAGAATGTCACTTTTGATAGTTGCTCTGTATTTCTTGTAATACTTGCTCTCCCCTAACAAGTACAGATGTAATAGCTGAAACTTTTTTTCCCTATCTCTGATATATCTGTGCTAAGGAAAGATGTAGCTGCCATATTTGGAAAAAAGGAAATAGGTCAGATTTTTTTAAAGGGTGGAAATTTGCATTCCTATATTCTCATATAAGATCAAAACTCCAGTTAGATTAAAAAATTATTGCTGTTCCCTACATCGAGAAAGAAATGCTTAGCAGTAGGGTGGGTAAAATCTCCTATAACAGGAAGCAATGGGCAACTTAATTTGCATAAGAAATATTAATCTGTACTTGGAACAATATATAATGTTCTTCCTCTTTTTCAGTGTGACGGAACTTCGTGATTTCTTTCTGGTAAACAACGTGACTTATTTGGCCCTGATATTTGATGAGGACAACTCCTTTTTGGGCAGAGAGGTGAATCTTAATTGATTGTTCAACATACACATCTGAGTCAGTATTATTATTGTTTATTAAATTTATATCCTGCTTTTCAACATAGAAAACATTTGAGGCTAATATAAAATTTAAATAAAGACTTGAAATTGGATCAAAACTTAAAATACAGGTCGATAGCAATTAGTGTGAGTTCAAATAATACGATATTTGAATACCAGGTTGTCTTTAATGTGATCACATTAACGCGAGGCTATTGCAGTTGAGACTTACATATGTGCATTTGCAGTTGGGGTTTTAGATGCTGCCAATCTTTGTGTGTGCAAAATGGAGAAAAGAAAGATTCTGTCAGAAGAAAAGAGTACAAGTTTTTAAAAAGAGGCTTGTTAATACATTGGACCAAAAATTTGATGTAATTGAACACATGAATGTGGTTGTGGCAACACTAAAATAGGATATACTGAAACACTCATAGAATTTTTTGTTTTTAATTTTACTTTTTGTAACTACTTTGTGTTTTTGTTAACCATAAATTTTAATCAAAAGTATGCTCTTTTTATCCTTTTTATAATATTTAATTATTGTTTAAAATTCTTCACTGTCTATTTCGATTGGGTTAGAACCAATTTCCATATTTTCCATAGAAATATCACTTTGAGTAGTGCAAATTCAAATAATGTGACCACTTTTGGAATTCATTAACTGCACTAATTGAGACCCACTTGCAATCATTATCCAATTCAAACTGAGAAGTTCTGAATAAACAGGAATGACACAGTCAAAAGAGTGGAGTCTGAATGTAATTCCAAAACAAGAATGTTCCACAGAGTAAAGACTAAGGGAGATGATCTTGAAAGAAACATGCAAGAGCTGTTATTTAGGCAAAAAAGGCTGAAACTTTCTCTAAGTCCTGGGAAGCAAGATGATCCTTAAAGTGGCTCAGGTAAACACCTTGCTGATTCACTAAGGCAGGGGTCTTCAAACTTGGCCCTTTTATGACTTGTGGCACGCTGGCTGAGGAACTCTGGGAGTTGAAGTCCACAAGTCATAAAAGGGCCAAGTTTGAAGAGCCCTGCCCTAAGGTATAAGGAGAGGAGGTAAAGCACAGTCAGATTTGTAAGATATTGCTGCATTGTGCCTGGAAAATAATTGGCAACCAATTACAGCATTTTCCATACAGGTGCAACAGGTGCAATGAGATTTAGATATTGGGTAACCATTAGCACCCCGTGTGCTATATTTTGCATTAAAATTTCAGGATACTTTTGAAGGCATTGCAGGTGTCAAATGAGTAATGGTCCCACTCCTTGTAACATTGGAATGGCCTTTAATCAACCTGACCAGGAAACCTGCCCGAAGTGAGTTTTTGGGGCACGCTCTGATGCACAGATAAATAGGCTAATTAAACATTATTATGTTATTATAGACCTGTAACTTTTGTGGAAATAAATGAAAAGTATATTGGCTCTTCCTTCCTGTTCCTTCCTAAAAATCTTACATGGGTCAAGCACTGTGTGGGGATATGATCCCTTAGCAAATGTCTGACATATTAATCTAATCCCTGATACTGTCCACAATAACTATGATAGGGATATTTCCCCATCTCTACTGGTTAATTGTCCTGTGAGGTCTTTGGTGCATTCTGAGTTTGATTGTTGCTTGCAGATGTTTCATTACTTGACTAGGTAATATCAGTGCTAGTGAATGTGGGGTTTGTAAGACATGTAGTAGCTTGCCTGCCAGCATTGGTGGAGGTGTGATTTTCTCCTTGGTAGTTTTTACACACCATTCATTTATACACCATTCAAAGGAGTCCATAAAAATGCTAAAAAGGAAATAAAAAGAGCAGAGCACATCCTCCCCAGCAGCCTGCACCCAGATAAGCGGGGATTAACCAGGCAAATATTCATGTAAAAAACAATACCCTATCCAAAGTTCCCCAACTTTTCTGGCTTTGTTGACCAGCGGGTGGGGAGAGAGGAGATGATTCGGCGGGCATGCATGCTCACCCACCACTTCCGTGGCCTGGTCCTGAAAGGCTTAAGGCTCATAGTGAGCCATGGACCAAAGCTTGGGGACCCCTGCCCTAAACAAGGAACTACAAAGGAGTAGTTGCTCCCCCCAATACTGTACATAAATAGGGAGGAAATCCTACCCCCACTAGCACTAATGATTTTATCTAGTTGGGTACTAGATACTAGATGTTTGCAAGCAAAACAACCAAGCTCAGAGAGTTCCAAAGGCCCCATAGTTACACCTTGAACTATATATATTCTCTTTTATTTGTCCTGTGTTAGGTTAAGTTAGTATTTCTGAGTTATTCAGGAAATATTTGTTTTAAGCTTTGGGGGTGCTTCCTCTCTGGATGGTGCTTATTTTATTAAAGGCAACTGCTATGCATATGTGCCCAGATATCATCTCTTGACAAGGTGAAACTGAAGGAAGCAAATGGTATAGTTCACAGAACACATTTTCTCAATATGACTAAACAAAGTAATCTTTAACTTCTAACTGGTTCATCTCCTGTGAAAGAATTTTGTTTATGTAATCCTCCTCCACAACCCACAGTGAAATCAAATGAAAGGAGGAAACTAGGGCAATACTTCTTCTTCTGCTGGTTAGCTTTTTTTCATTCAAAGTGACTGGGACATCCCTTTTGCTTCTTCACAACAGTTACGTATATATGGTAAATTAGAATATTATTTCTGTTTATACACAGTATTTCCACTTAAACTAAACATTGATAACATTGACAATAGGATTTTGTGAATTTGCCCAGATTTTTGTTTTAATCTTTTTTGACAGACTAAGCGTGAACTTCTGATTTCAAATTAAGCAGAGAACATCCAAAAAGTCTTTAATGTAAAACCGAATGTACATGCGAAAGGATTTAATTTCCGATTCTTGCAACACTGGCATGTGGTGGCAAAACAGAAGATTTCTCCTTGCGTGAAAATGTGTGGATGAGCAGCCCCTGATTTCAGCTCCAAGCATCTTAGTTATTTCCCTCCCACTATCTCTTTCTAGCTGCCAGTTTTTCTAAAGATGGAAGAATCATTTATTTCTGGAAAGAGGAGAAGGGGGAGCTGACTAATGTACAGCCATTATGCTGCCCTTCATAGTGCAAGCCCATGTTTTTATGTACCCTCTGGCTTTCTATGCCTATTTACCTCTCAAAGTCTGAACACAAAGACTTCTGCCATAGGATAAAAAGTACCAGATTCAGTTTTGGCAATGGAGGTATTGTACTATTCAGTATGCTTTTCCCATAGATCAGGACCCCAAGTGGCTCACCAAAAGTGATAGTAAAATCTTATGTGTATTATGACCATTACTGGGCTGTAACCCTGACCTAACATCTGAAGGTAAAGTATAACCTTTAAATTGATGATGCTTTCTGATGCAAATCAGTACAAAGGAGTTCCTGCATAAAAGAAGAGAATAAACTATTTTTATAGATTTGTTTGCACACTGAAAAAAAAGTTATTTGTTATTCTCAGTTCTTTGTTCTCAGTTCTTCTGAGTTTCCTCTTCATGGCCTACTGAGCACCTCTGGCTGCTTTATTTCCTTCAGTGAACTTTGGGATAAGAGAGGAAGCAAAGATAGTAGTTAATTGTCACAAGTCTTAAAAAAAATAATAGGTTGTACCTACTGGCTGTTAGAAATATGAACACAAAGATTACGTTAAGAAACTTCAATTGTGTAATCATTATGCTGAGTATATGTAATGGTATTTTCCATTTCAGGATTCAAGGGAGACTTTGGCAATGGATATATTATTGCTAAAGAAATGATAATGGAACATTCCAAAGAACGTGTGTGCCTTTGATTAATCAACAAATATGTAACGCGACACTGTTTAGATGTGAATAACCTGAAAAGATTTCATTGGTAGCGGACCATGAGAATGAAAGAGAGCTGCAACAGAGTCTTTCAGAAGGTTAAATTTTTGATTAGAGGAGGGAGAAAGTAACTTCTTGCATCCAGCTGAGCAATATTGACTCGTGCCTTGTTTGATTCTAGGTAGCACTGGATATGCTTCAATATGAAAATATTGCAGTAAGGCGAGTCCTACAGAGCAATGAAGAGCTAGTGAAGCAGTTCAACATCACTACCTTTCCATCTGGCCTCCTTGTGACCAATAATGGTTCTTGCAGAAGCATCCCTGGGTGAGATGTTATCATAGTCCTAAAAGCCTCCCTTTTCTCTTTTATCTAGTACTGTAGCTAAAATGCATAAATTCTCTCTCACCCATGTTCATTCTCCTTGAGTTCAAGAATTCAGGTTCTTGTGACAATCCAGAGAGTTTCTGTGAGGACTTACTATCCAATATATAATTTCTTTTGAATATGTTACAAAAATTGATCGTCTATTCTTAAATTGTGTTTCATAATTATTCATGTAAGGAATTTGCAGAATATTTATATTTTTGGAATTCTCAGACCAGTTCCTATGTGAGGGATCTTATTTAGAATTTATTTTTATTTTATTTTATTTTTACTTAGAAGGGGAGCTTATCAAATTTTCAGATGACATCAAGCTGGGGGAAATTGCTAAGACTTTGGAAGATAGATTTAAAAATCAGAAGGATCTTGATCGGCTACAGCAATGGGTCCTATTCAGTAAGATGTGGTTCAGTGGTGAGAAAACTAAGGTCCTACATTTCCGCAGGAAAAACCAAATGCGCAGCCATAGAATAGATAGTACCTGGCTCAACAATACCAATAGAACGAACAAGGTGTCCTCGTGGACCACCACTTAAGTGTGAGCCAGCAGTATGCTGCAGTTGTCCCAAATAAATAAATAAATATAGTCCTAGGCTGCATCAACAGGGGTAGCATCGAGCTCATGAGAAATGATAGTACTGCTCTTTACTGTACTAGTGAAGCCACTACTGCATCAAGTTTTGGTAGCCACCAAAGAAAAAAAGATGCTAAGATCCTAAAAATAATGCAGAGAACAGCAGCAAAGATGATAAGGAGTCTGCAGGTTAAACCATATGATGAACCATACGGTTAAGGGAACTATGTATGTTTAGTCTAACAAAAAGAGGGATTAGAGGAAATATGACAGCTGCCTTCCAGTACTTAAGGGCCAGTCCAGAGATGAGGGGATTGACTTATTCTCCAAAGTACCTGAGGGCAGGACAAAAAGCAATAGGTGGAAGCTTGTTAAAGAGAGAGCCTACCCGGAACTAAAGAGAAATTTCCTGACGGTGAGAGCAATTAACCAATGGAACAGCTTGCCTCCTGGAGTTATGGATGCTGGAGGTTTTCAAGAAAAAAATTGAACATCCATTTGTCCAGGATGGTATAAGAATCCTGGCAGAGGGTTGGACTAGAAGACCTTCCAATCCTATGATTCTATGATTTAGGCATCTGCAAAAAACTTCAACAGGATAGATTTCTACACAACTTCTGTGATCATTGTAATAAGAGGTCAGCCCTCTATATCCAGATTCATTATAATTCAGACAGCTGCATTGTCAAAACCTGTTTTCAGCCAACTGCTTGGACGTGCAAGTGTTTACCTGTTATCCGGGTTGGGAATGATGGAATCTCCACTGATGGGAGGTTCTTGTTGTGCGTGAAGCAAAAATCCTGTATTTTTCTTTTGGGTGTTGCTCAAAAAGAGATCTTCTGGGATATAAAGGATTTATGTGTGGAGGGTGTGGATATGGGATATGTCTTGCTAATTTCTTACTAAAGCATCGAGAGTGCTGTCATTCCAGAGAGGCACGCTGTGTTCCTCTCTTGTTATTACATCACACACACACACAATTAGAATCCTCTAAGATAGCAATATCAAGCCTGGTTCTGTCTAGATATGAGGAATTGTACCTCCGATTACTATGATAAATTTTTGACTGCGGCCTGTAGTTTAATCTAAGTCTCCCTCAAACTAGATTTGAGCAAATCATTTGTGGTGAACTCCTGTATCCTTTAATGTCATAACAGCAGATCTAGTATATATTGGATTTATGCCATCTGATCTATACAATTTCTTGTCTTGTACATTCCTTCTTCACCTTAATGATTTATGTACACTGACTTTTTTGTGGTTAGCTGCACGTGTTAGGAGATTTTCTTTGGCGATAACATTTCATAATCCTGCACTAGTTATACTCTCTATCTAAAATAAACAGTTCTCACGTCTAATGCTGCAGTATAATGTGTCAACACAGTAAATTATTAATTCATTGTGAATCTTCTGAGAAGAAAGGTGATTCCCTAGTTATGGAGCATTCAAATTTGAGCCACTATCTCTTGGCATAGTAGCTTGGAAGCTGAATTTTGAGGCATTTGTACATTTGTGCACAACTAAATAGAATTTTACCTTTTGATATGCTCAGCAACTGTAAGTTAAGTAAAGCTGAACAACTGAATTCTAAATTCTCAAACTAGAATGTGAAATTGATGTAAGGCCTATGAGATTTCATTGTAGTTGATTCATTCCATTCATCAGGAGGCCAACAGCTTTTAATTACCTTCTGCAAAATTACAGCCCATAGAAAGACATAACTTCGCTGGTTGGCTCAACTTGTAAGTGTCCCAGCTGGTCATGAAGCACCAGTCTTCTTGTTTCAAATGGGACAATGAAAGGAATGGGAAATGGGCCATGTTTTTTTTAATATTTTCTCTTTCCCACATTCTTCCTTATTTTTTCTTCTGGAGTTAAACTGCGATGATAAAATACTCCTTTTCAGATTTCCAGAACATTTATATATAAAAAAAGTGTGCTGTTAGGTTTATGGAGCCAGGCTTTTGGGGCTCAGGAAGTAGAATTAAATCCTTCATCTTCATGCAGTAGCAAATCCATAGTTTGTGCATGTTTTTTAGCTGTGGAAATAACTGTGAGCATAGGACTTTGCAACTTGTGCCCCCTTTAGACATAAGTGCAATGAAGGGATCTATGTGAATAGGGCAGGGTTTGCATTGCATCACTTTTGGCAGCATGCTGCTGTGCTCCTTTTAAGATGCTGCTGTGGTTTTATAGGGCACTGACTCTTTGTTTTCCAGGAAGGTAATTCCACATTGAACCCAGTAGAATTAGTGACTGAAAATTACTCATGTTTATATCACCATAACTAAGCTATCCTAGTCCATCAGTATATGTATGTAACTGGCATAAACACTCTTTGGCATTAAGGTAGACATCTCCAGGCCATGTACCTGCTGCTTCAGAGGGCATTTAGTTCCATCCACAATTACTCATTTCCTTGATTTAGAAACAATTGCCTGATACTACCTTAATCTCACCAGGATACAGGCACAGTGTACAGTATTGACCCCCTTCTAGTCTATTATTGCTGCTGGGCATTGCCCTAAGCCTTTTCACATTCTTTATCATGCCTCCCAATGCTTTACGTAGATACAGTATTAAATAGCACCAAACTACTTTGTGATTTTCTCTGGCAAAATTATCAAGGAACTGAAAAATATTCATCCAGTACTACCTTTTGTGATCAGCCCTGCAACTTGTAATACTCTGCCTAGTTTGCAGAAGGGAAGTTATATTTCACATTATTTGGAAACAAAGATCATTGAGTGTGGTCTTCTAAAAACCTGGCAAAGGATCATCTGTGTTCTGACCTACCACCTCACATCCACCCAGCTGCTCGTCTCCTCCACATTCATTTCTAATTGCAGAAAAGTTCATTAGGAGCCAGACAATGGCTGGTTCTGAGATGCTGACAGAGAACAATGGAACCTGTGCTTGGACCCTCTGGTGAATTCCTGCTATTGAATAGTGCATTAAACAACAAGCAGATGGTCTCCCTCCTCCCCCTCCCCTACATCGCTCTTAGCAGATGATTGATGTCCACCTGGCAGTGAAGGCATTAGTGTGATGGGCAAAGGGGCATGTTGGCACTGTTGATTTCCTTAACAAGAGGTTTACCAATGCGACGGCAATACTCACTCCTGGACCAGAGGGGAATAATTGGTGCATGTGAAATCTGTATGCTTTCTTCTGCAGTGAACTAGCTGGAGTGAGGAAACTGGCTCGCTGAGAGGCAGTCATCTTGCTTCTCTCCTGCCAGCTTCACCCAACAGGAGAGCCACTGTTTTCCTTGCTGCAGAACTGGCAGAGAAGAGAATTATTTGTGATGATGCCGACTCTTGGCCATCTGCTCGCAGAGAGCACCAGGCCGAGAAAACAGAGTATAAAGTGACTGTTCCTGGTTGTGCTTCCCTCAGGGATTTTTTTTTTTTTTTGCTGGTACCACTGCTTGCTGCACTAGGAAGCAGCTTTCTCTTAATTTTACGCTGCTTTGGGATGTGAGGGAAATTGGCTTTGTCCAGCAAGATTATTCAAAATTCTCTGTTTATATCCTAAGCCACCTGGTTTGTAGATAAAGGGGTGGCTGAGATTAGGCTTGTCTCTGTTTGAATCTCTCTATAGCACAGGTGTCAAATTCACCATGTCACGTGACATGTCGCGATGTATCGCAACTTTTTTTGCATTGCCGGACCTGGGATGGGCACGGCCTCCGTATGATCAAAGCAGCCTGCGGGCCAGCAGTTTGACACCCCTGCTCTATAGTATATTTCTGATTTCAAAGGGAATCAGATGAGAGAGAGAGAGGGAGGGAGGGAGGGAGAGAGAGAGAGAGAGAGAGAGAGAGAGAGAGATAAGTCAATGTCATCCTATCAAATATGAAGCTCTAGAATACAGTCTATATTTCTCTGACATTTGTTAGGTACAATCCATTTGCTGAACATTAAACAGAAATGAAATGTGGATAATTTCATCTGTACATGTGGTATCAGTAGGAAATAATAATATACTGACTAGCTTCATAATTAAGTCACAGACATCCAGAGTGCAGGATTGTTCTTTAATTTGTGCTAAACTGAGTGTGGGGGGGGGAGGGGAAGTGGATCTGACAGTTTATATAAAGGATATTCCATTTTTTGTCTTCTAAATTAATTATGTAACAAAGACAATAAAGTGAAAGTGAATTGTTCTAATTTGGGATGAATCTGCTTGGCTTGCTCCATCCTGTTAGAGCTTGTTTCCAAGGCCCATTTATTTTAAGTGTTTGCAAATACTGTATTGCCTGTTTTCCAACATGGTGATATAATAATAATTTTCATTTAATATTCCATTCCTATCCTGGCTTTCCCCTTTATCTAGAGATAGATTATTCCAATAGCATGAACCTAATCCACATCTGAGTTTGACAAACCATATTCAAAAGAAAAGAAAGATTGTCAATAATAATAATAATAAAGTTGGAAGGGACCTTGGAGGTCATTGAGTCCATAGGCAGGAAACCCTATACCATTTCAGATAAATAGCTGTCCAGTCTCTTCTTAAAAACTTCCAGTGTTGGAGCATTCACCGCTTCTGGAGGCTGGTTGTTCCATTGGTTAATTGTTCTAACTGTCAGGAAGTTTCTCCTTAGTTCTAGGTTGCTTCTCTCCTTGATCAGTTTCCATCCGTTGCTTCTTGTCCTGCCTTCATTCACCTTGGAGAATAGCTTGACTCCCTCTTCTTTGTGGCAGCCCCTGAGATATTGGAACACTGCTATCATGTCCCCCCTCGTCCTTCTCTTTGTTAAACTAGACATACCCAATTCCAGCAACCGTTCCTTATATGTTTTAGCCTCCAGTCCCCTAATCATCTTTGTTGTTCTTCTCTGTACTCTTTCTAGAGTCTCAGCAACCTTTTTACATCGTCGTGACCAAAACTGGATGCAGTATTCCAAGTGTGGCCTTACCAAGGCATTGTAAAGTGGTCTTCACGTGATCTTGATTCTATCCCTCTGTTAATGCAGCCCAGCATTGTGTTGGCTTTTTTGGCAGCTGCAGCACATTGCTGGCTCATATTTAAATTATTGTCCACTAGGACGCCGAGATCCCTCTCACAGGGAGGGATTGAGCAAGGTACCCCCTATATAGTTACATGGGATCTTATCACTGGAAATCAGACTACCAAGATATTAAACATAGTTATGAATAACAGCTGTGTGAATGCAGAAAAAGTGTACTGCTTAGGGAGAGTTTATTGGTGTGTGCTTTCTGAAATTTTTAATCAGTTAGAATTAGCATGTGGAGCTGATATGGGGAATAGTTGTGAGGTGAGCTACCTATTAAAAATGTGATAAATAACTAAATAAAACATAGAGAAGTCTAAATTAGCCAGTTAAGCAGTTGGAGGAAAAAAATATGGGACTATGTTTCTGTATGTGATCTTTGCAGCAAGACATTTCTGCGCACAAAGATGAAAAGACTTACAAATTCCTACAATGAAAGAATGGATAGTGAAGTCAGTGGAATGGGCTGAAATGATTAAATTAACTTCATTGATTAAAGAAAAGTCTTTGTCTAATTTTGTTTTTACATGGAAACCACTTCTTGCTAGAAACTGAAAAAAAAATCTTACTTTAATTTTTGGATTTGACAATTAGAAATGTTTACGATTGTAGACATACTATTATTGAACTTTTAGCACCTTCCCTTCCCCCTATCTTTTTCCTTCTTAATAATTCGTTTTTTACATTTTATCTTTCATACAAATTGAATACAGTATATAGCATAGCTGGTAATAATGTGTATTTGATCATTTTAGGTAACAGGTAGAGCAGCAAATGGTCTATGGCATGCATACCTATTTGAAATTTACTAGTGCAAAGTATTACATCTCTTTATTAATGGTATATACTCATTTGTGTATTTTGATGCTTAAAGAAAATCGACAGTTCAGTTTTCTCTTTTGTAATATATCTGTGGTTATGTGTGTTATAACCACACAGAAACGGAAGATAGTAACTAGAAAGGACACAACAAGTACATATTGTTAAAGTTTGTCTCCGTTTATGCTTCCTTCTAGGCATGCGGATTGGAGATCCCAGTATACTAATTTTCTGCGGAACTTATCTGGAGTCTTTAGACGAGATATTTTCATACCAACGGTGTCCCCCACTGCACAGTCAACAATGACTTTTACAATTTGGAAGATGGCAGACCAGTGAGTGCCAGCTTCCCTGAATGGTTTAATGTTTCTTCTTTCCAAGTGCTGTTTCAGATGTTCTCACACTATAAGTTAAAACTGGTCAATCTCGCCATTCATTAGTTATGAGGAGTAGGGTATCCAGCCTGCCCTCCACAATCTTATAAACAAAAAGGGGGCTAGCAGATGCAAGAGCTATACATCATGGATGTACAGTGCTTTGCATCCAAAGTGGAAAAATTACGTTAGAGGTAGCATTGGAATGTTCTCTGCACCTTTCAACACCTCCTTTAAAAAGCTACATCTTTTCCTGTGTTGGCACAGTAGGCATGCATCTCTGGAAAATCTATGTTTAAGCTAACAGCATGTTATGACAAATGTGCCACATCGTTTTGGCACTTCATTAATGCCAGTGCATATTTTCTTTGGACTGAAGTTGCTGTGCCAGCCCAGGAAAAGGTGCAGCATTTTGAAAGAGGTCATGACAAGTTGCAGTGAAATCTTAACATGTAAACACCTTTTTTTTTGGCTTTGAAGCCAGGTAGCTGTACATCACTGTTATACTTGCATGCATACTCATCACCTGTTCCCTTTCAAGGTAAGCTACTTAATGTGGAATGTAGGAAGGGAGTAAGCCAAAGAAATTAAATCATGAGCTTAGAAAAAGAAAACAAAATAAAGCTCAATTTAGTTCACAACAATATCCTCTCTATACTTTTCTGCGATGGCAACTGTCTTTGTTTCTACTATGTCCTTTCAGAGTTTGATATACTGACTTTTTTTTCTTTAAATTTCTCACTTCTCTCTAAGGACCTCAGCAACTCCAAACACCCTTCCTCTTTGTCTTTCATAGATTTGCTTTATGATTTAATTCTTATTCATTCTTCCTATATGACCAAACCATTTCAATGTACTTTCATACATATTCATTTTCATAATCAGCACTCATATGGATTCATTCTTGATTCTTTTTCTTGTTTTACCACCATATTTCTTAAATACCCCTTTCTTACTGTATCCAACTTAACTTTTATGTTCTCTTGACATAATGAACTCCCACTACCTTATACAAAAGCAGAAGCATGTTTTAATACATAGTCATAGTCATTCTTGCTTCTTTCAACAGTCATTTTTTGTTCTTTGGCATTTATCTATAATTGTTTATTCTCTCTTTCCTGTAAAACACATCTTACGTTATTTTCAGATCCATATTCCTTGTTGCATCACACTATCTACAAATTTAGTCTTTATTAGCTTTTGGACTTAGTACTTTTCCATTTTGTGTACTTCCAGCCCATTTGCACTGTGCATTAACAATAATTGAAGAGAGCTGCATTGAACTAAGTTTCCAAATATTACAGACCTTAAGAGTAAGATCAGTACAAAATATTACAAGTAAAAGTCACGATATAAAATAGCAGCTCCACATAATTTTCAAGTTTTACTGAACATGATAATTCAATTTGCTTCATTTTTGGAAGCCTCATCAAAGTTCTCCACGAGATCTGGAACTTCATCATCATCATCATCTTCTCCAGTAGCAAGAGGTGCTTTTCCATCCACAGATTGTTTTGGTAGAGCTTCTGCCAGTCCTCTCAAACTTGTCAAACTATCAGCGCCAAGTTGGTTTAAGATACTAGGCAACATTTCAGTCAGCTGCTTTGTCTCAGCATGGCCTGTGATTGGTTAGCAGCTAGTGAAGCTTGAATTTTAGGATTGTTGAAGTGAATTACAGTGCCTTGGTTGGTGAACATGTTGACCTCTTCAATCCCAGATATGTTATTTACACCCAATTTCTTTAAGGAAAACTGAAGTTTCTTGTCATCTGCTGTAGCTGTTCTGTGAACCACCTTCTTCTTTCTATGAGCAGTACCCTTCCCACCGATGCGCACTTGGGCCTGTAGTTTAGCTAATTTTTCTTGATACATGATCGTTTCTTTCATCTAAGGAAGAAAAAAAAGGCAAAGGGGAGAATTAGATGGGCAGAGAGCCACACTGCTTCAGTGCTGGTGGGATTAAAGAGGACGCTCAAACGAGCCTGGCCCTGCTCAGCTCAGCCTACCCACTATTTATCTAAAGTTCACTGCAAATTCATTCTAAGTCTTGGCCAAGAGAAGGGCATCATCTGCGCATGAAAGAACACAGAAGTTTATGTCCCTGTTCACCATATTGTTAGTGTCACTACAAGCATTCCTTATACACATTGGCAAACCAAATGGATATTATACACCCATGTCTCACTTTCTGCTCAATGCTAAACCATTGAGTAAGCGTTCTGTTTGTATCCACACAATTTATTTACTTTTTTTTTCCTATTCTGGTTAGTTTCCAACCTTCAATTCCATTTTCATACAAAACATTCCATACTTCAAACCCATTCACTTTTATCAGTTTCTCCAAAATCAACAAATGTACAATAAATGTTCTCGCAAACAGCACAGGATCTGTCATTTAAGAATTTTGCAAAGAATGTCTTAATACTGAAATCATTCTTCTGTTCAGCTGTGATTGAGTAGGGTTTTGATGAAATTTCAATTTGGGATTAATTTTAATCAAAATCCTACTCTGGACAGATAATTCATAGAAAAGCCATTCCTGCATTTTAGAGCATATTTGAGCATAATACATGATTGAATGCAGCTCTACAAAAGGATGCACATAAAAACTGGAAGCTGGAGAGAACTGTTTCTTGAGAGAATATCCTGTTACGTTATTCTACTCATTCTCAAAGCACATTTGTACATAGGCATTAAAATGGTGCTCTCTGGGGAAAGTTAGCTCTTCTTTCTTTTGTTCAAAATAGTTTTCATATTACTTGGAAGTCCAGCTAGATTATCTGATGTCATGGAATGAGCTACACATTCTTAGTGGATTTCACTGAGACCAACTCCAATTATAATCTGGCAAGAAATCTTTAAAAACAGTAAATAATTTGGGGAGGAATAAAATAGTGATTGATACAAAGCATGAGGGCAAGACACTTAAGTATTAAAAGAAATAGAAGCTTAGTTCAAGTTGTAATTTGAAGGGGGTCCAGTCAGATGGAAATTAAATTATGGAAGTCTATTATGTGCAGGAGACTCACATTTGTGGATTTTTGATTTTAGCAAAGAATGTGGATGTCAGTGCAAATTTATAGAAAGTAATCTCAAGAGAGATAGTGGAGGATAAAGTCTCATTTTTTCCCCCAGAGAAGATGATTACCAGTTCTATAGCCACAGCTCAAGCTAGCTTTATGCATCTCTGAACTCTGTTGACAACTAGTGGGTCAGATAGTGCCAAAGAAGGTGTGAGGTTACATCCTAGAATTGCCATTTTATGTTGTGTTAGTTATTAATATATTTCCCCCTTTTTTGGTTAATATTTGTGCCACAGGAAAAAGATATACATGGCTGATGTAGAATCTGCAGTACTTTATACCCTAAGGACAGAGGCTGCAGTATTCTCCAACCTTGAGGGAGAGCAACTCTCCACTTTGAAGGACTTTGTGTCTGTTTTGGTCCAGGTGAGTGATGTGACACTTTTTGACCTGAGAGACTTTCCAAACAATTCCTCTCTCTTGCTGCTCTCTCCCCTTTTACATACAGGTAGTATTCAAATTACCACCATTTGTTCAGCAATTGTTTGAAATCAGTTAAACAACTGGTAGTTACATCTGGTCACCCAAATTAAGGCTATTGCAGCCCCCTGCTGTCATGTGATTAAATTTTGGGCACATGGCAATCTACTTGCGTTTATGATTGCAGGAACGCTTCAGCACCCTCTATCTGCCTAACCACCACCCCCATCTCGGCCATTTTGGCTGTCCTGCACTCACTGGCCTTGTCACCTCTGCTAGCCTTGCCATGCAGGCTGACCTTTGCCCTTTTCTTCCTGCCATAAGGTGCACTGGGCCTGGCTCTTCTCAAGCGGGCTGCTGTCTGTGCCAGGACTATTTTTTGAGTTTGTGCCAGCCCCTTGTCCAAATTCTGTTTGAGCTTCTCACAGGAATGGCAGGGCCAGCAAGTGCAGGGCAGCAAGGCCAGTAGAGATGGAGTGTAAGGCAGCCAAACAGGAAGAGAAGTGAGGGAAGACAGGTTGATGGGGGTAGTTGAAGAGAAGAAAGTCTCTTACCAAAGTATGGCCTGGAGAGACCACATTGGGAATGGTTTGAATTGGGGTAGGTCTTTGGCTATCAACTAGCTAACCAAATATTATTTGGTTAATGAGAGCAACTGGGATTCCTGGGATCGCCATCACTAAGCGATGCGGTCATGAGACATCAGGCTTTACAACTGCATCACTTAGTGATGGAAATGGGCGGCAAATAAATTTAATAAACAATAAAATAAAATTTGAGTCCCAATTGCCATCATATCTTAAGGACTACCTCTATATATTTGCTTTTTTATAATCTTACCAGTGATTCTGCCTTTTTAAACTTAGATGAAAATGTTTCATTTGGAGAGCAAGTTCAGTCTTAAAAGTCATCCATAAGCTGTTAATATGCTCCTTTCTCTAGACAAAAATCATAATTCCCCCATTAATAAAGTACTGGTTCTGAATAACCCTGTTTCTTGAGGCCTTTTACTTTTTAGAGTATTAGTGAATTTTGTGTAGCATCTCTGTGAATTTGGCTTCACTTCATGGTGTTTCCTAACTGTGCTCATAACCCTGCAAATGGACAATTCTGAAAAAGCAATAAAAAGAGTTTTGTTACTAAATATTTTTTAAAATGTTTAGTTTTAAACGTTTAGTTTACAAACTAATTGCTATGGTGGACGAGGCCAGTCACATAATATTGACAGGAAACCAATTCATGGAGTTGCTCTCCAAGTCCTGTTTTAGCCTTTTCAGGATATTCCCTATCACTTCAGTTGACCTGTCTTTTTCTGGGCACATGGCCATGCTCCTAGAGAAAGCATGGAGTTACTGCCCTATCATTTTCATTTTCTAAGAATATCTCCAGGATTGTTAGAGAAGAGTAGGCAGAGCTGAGGGGTGGGATTAGCATGTCATCAGTTTAGAATCCTTGAGTTACCACAAGCATTCTAAATCCATTGCCTCCTGAATTCCATTGACCCTTATCCGGTGCCTATTTAGTGTTGAACTTTAGTTGACCAGATTCTGCTATATAGGCTTGAATAAGCTGCAATGGTCCTGATTCTTTGCACCCGACAAGGATTTATGCATTCTTGGGAATAAAGATTATGCTTAAGGCTGCGACTTCATTTTCCAGCATGTAGTTCCCCATGTATGCTTTTTTTTAAATAGCATGTTTTAAAAATCTGTCAGCCAAAATCTCTGTAGGCAACATATTGAGAAATGAGGGCATAATATTTGTGGTTTCAATTCAGTATAAAGTTTTGTTTCTCTCTTGAGTATCTATACTTTATTTTAGTTGCATTTCAGGATTTCGCTGAATACCATTTTTTTAACCTTTTTTTTCACTCCTCACTTTTTAGAATAACAAAAAAGAGCTGTCTAATAGTTTTGAACAATTGGAGAAGATAATTGGTTTGTCCAACTTTAACATGGCCCCAACTAATACTGTTCGATCTTGAACAAAACTAAGCAGGGAGGTCCACCAAAATCCCAAGGGTCTAGATTAGAGAAGTCCAAAATTATCCTGAAAGAAGGCAATGGCAAATCACTTGCGTATTGTTGCCAAGAAAATTACATGGACAGAGTCCTCAGGAGCTGAGCTGGATTTAGGACAATCAGATTAAATGGTAATATTGTATAAGATTTATTATCTCATTTCAAAGCACTTCTCTTATCTACTTACCCAACTTTTTCTACAATCCACTTGCTCAGAATGATTGATATAAATCAGTGAATTTCTTTCCCTTTCCAAACAATGGCAGAGAAAAATTGATCATGATTAATTCATGTGTTAAAAAGTAAAGCAATTGTATACAAAAAGCATACTTGTACCCCCATATAGTCTGAATCTTTAAATCTCAGTTCTTTGTAAATTGGAATAATAATGCTATAATGAAAGAACTATTCAAATTCAAAATTTTCATTTCTGACTACCAGTACCTTATACAATTTATTTTAAATTTACTTCTATTCTTGTATGTTTGATCAAGCATAAAACTGTGAAAAAAGATTCAAGCATTAGCAGAACATTACATCTGATGATCTGCTTTGACTGTCTGTAAATTTTAATGCAGTGTTTCAATGGCAGGTTGAAGATGTGTGACTTCAATTTCCAAAATTCCTCAGCCAGAATGAGGAATGGCTTGACTGACTGGGGAATTCTGGGCGTTGAAGTCCCTACATCTTCAAGTTGCCAAGTTTGAAAAACGTTCTTCTAATGACTTCTAAGATATACCTGTTGCTTCTATAATGTGGATATCAAGGGAAATGCCTAAATGTGTTTACAAGGCTTGAGTATAGGTTCCAAAAAAAATAATTTTTTTTTGCTAAACTGTAATTCTTATTGTGAGAGTAGAGGAATATTGTTAGTTTATATGGATATCAAATTTATCTGCCTCTACAAATCTTGGTTGGATATAAGTGTTAATAAGACATACTCTCTGATGTGTCAGATTTCCTATATTCACATGGGCAAAACCTCCCAGTGTGACTGGGAGATTATTAAATCTGTCCTTCAAGATTGCCAAAGGGAAGGTCTTAAAAACAAGAAAAGGCCAGTAGTATTTAGGTAATTTGCAGGGTAGTAATTTAGGCTTTTTCTAATACTTCTATATGACTGAGCTCACACGCCGTAACTTTGTAGCCTGAGTCCACTATTAATTACCACCTTGATTCTTATTTCCCTTTGGCCTGTATACATAAAAAATGCTCACCAAGTCAGAATTATATGTAATTTTCGGTTTTAATTGTAGCATAAACTTTGGTCAAACAATGTTTTAGCTTCTGAAAGAACCCATGACTTCCTTTCTTTTTTCCCCATAACCAATTTACCTTTGAAAAAGCACAGTCAGTGCTGTATCTGGTGTGAGGTGTGCTGCTAGATTCGGGCCACAAGGTGGAGAAGTCTGACTAAGTTCCAGATACTTAACTCATTATTAGCTAGAGAGAAGTTCCCTGAGGATGGGGCTCTGGCACAAGGCACAAGTCCGAAAGCTCGGGAGACAAAACCTCCGGTCCCAGTGACCGACCCAGATTGGATCCTGTAACTCATTATTTCCTTGGTCTTTTTCTTGCAAGGTTTTTCCTTTCATTTACATTTCTTGGAATTTGGCTTCTCTATATCCAAAATAAAACTAAAGCTTTGGAAGTCTGTTGTTTTTTTTTTCTCTCCCTTCTCTAGAAGGTCCAAGATCTCAACAGGCTTCCTGCAGCCTAGGCATGCTGACTGTACTATGTTAGAAAGATAGATCTGTGTCACTTTATGATTCTCCATAAAGCATGTCTGGCTATACATTCAAATGAGCTAGTGTGTAATCTTCAGATAGAAGAGAAATTGTTGGTTCACTTCAACTCTCTGTGTGCTCATTTTTAAAGAAATAATCAAAGAAAAATCTCTCTTTCATCAACATCCATTGCTGATTTACTTCAATTGCCACCCTGCCATTTAATACTGCTTACATTTTCTCATTGAGAAACAAAACAGGTATTTTATACATCCTCTCAATCAGTTTTCTTGTTTTCTCTGAACTTGCTCCCCTTCTCCAGTCAACCTGTCATTTGCCTGGCTTTCTTCTAGTGACATGGCTTTTTCTGCTACATTTCTCTCTCCCCCTCCCACCCCAGTTGGAGCATATAGCTCTTTGATCCCTCTCCTCCTCCCTGGAGTGCTTGTGGTTTTAAAGTGCTGATGCTAATCGGATTTGAGATGACTTATTGTCAAAGTAGCTTTCTGTGATCCTTGGAGACTATTTTGGACTTAGAGTCAAGATCTGGATCTTGGCTGTAAGCCCATAGGGGCTGACTTGTTTGCTACTGCGGCATCTTGAACACCACTCAAAAAAAGCCCCTCTTAGTATTAGCAAGTAGTGGGCTGGATTTGAGAGGAATGCCATATAGCCCCTTGGAAGACAAGAGATGAACTACTGAGTTTACAGGGCAACTAGCTGTTCCCAGTTTTCAATGCCCCTTTTTCAAGTGCTGTCAAGATCTGCCACCAATAACTGGACAGACAGCGCACGGTTTTTTCAACAGAGTTGGAGCTATATAGGAAACAAGGGTATGGTTTTGGCTCAAGTTACTAATTCTTGCTGACTTGTGATCTCTGTGTGATTGGACCGACAGATGTTCTTGCATTTGGCATTAACAACATTAAGCTTTTGGTGCTAAAGAATGTCAGGGTCTGTGCCAATAACTCTTTGCAGCAGCAGTTCATGGTTGTAACTGAATATTTTTCACACTGCTTTGAGCTTTATGTGTGCCAGCTAATATACTGTACTTCTTATAGCTTGAGTAAGATGGCACTGATTAGTGGTATCTCAATGATTCTGTTGTAATAGATTGCTACAAGGTTTAGACTTCAGTTGTCTATTGTGGCTTAAACTAGCTTTTTAGTCTTTAGTCTGATGAAGGCTAATGGATCTTAGACTATTTCCTCTTAACATGCTTACAATTTCTATCAGAACTCTGGATGGTTTCTGGAATAATATGTTTTGCACAATAAATATGAGCCTGGCTAAATGTCCTATTTTATATTTGTTGAATTCGAAATGCCTGGATGAATTCCATTCTCTCTCTCCTCCACTAGGGAAAAAGGTCATATTATGTGGTTGATTACTCTGGTATCTGCGTATGTCCTACTTGTAGCAGAGGTGTTTCTCCCTAAATTAATGTAACATTGTTTTTGTAGTTTTTTTAAGAAACTGAATTTGGCATGCTATCCAATATACTCTGTGTAGCCACACCATGATACCATGTACCTATGCTTCAAAGCTCGACTCCATCTACACCTTAATCTTTTTCTTTCTATTCTTATTTTTATATCAGCATTTTGCTGGGCGGTTAGTAGTCAAGAATTACCTTTACAACCTGGATTTGTGGCTGAGACCAAAGACAAACATTTCACGGAGTGAATGGGAGGACGCTCTAAGGAACAAAAAGGAGGTGGGTTAATTGAACAAGGAAACGTTTGAAGTGGAGGCCAGATTTACTGATTAAGTCCAATTGAACTCAATTATCTAGATTCTATCCAGAGATTCAGCTTTTTTTAAAAAAAACCCACAAGATATTGAAAGTATTTGTTTCCAAAGCTACAAGCTCCATGTGTAACTTGCTAAATGTCATCATTATCATATATTATGGAGCTGTCCCAAGATATAAATTTATTGCAAATATATTTGAATTTCATTAGTTTATATTATGAATAGTGTAAATATTTTCTGTGATCCACAGACTGTTTTGTTTAAGTGTTTTTTTTTAAAAAAAGCAGATTCTGCCTTTGTTGTTATTAAATAGTTTAGAAAATATGGAATTAGTGCTATTAATGAACTTCATATTAATAGTGTGCAATTCTTGCAATTTATTGGGTACATTTATTGAGAACTGAACAATGTTCATACATTGTTTAGGATTATAATTAAGGCAGAGTATTTTGCTGTATTGTTTTTTTGACAGGTGTCCTTTTTAATGTTGTTTACCTCTGTTTTATTTTGTGTACCATAAAAATTATTCTCCAAACTATTGGTATGCAAGTGGCCAGGATGACGTAGAGGTGAAAGTGTTGTAATGACATTGAGAAGATCCAAGTTTAGATCCACCTTCTGCACAGAAGCTTCTGGACAACACTGGGCCAGGCACACACTCTCAGCCCAGCCCATCTCACAAGTTGTTGTTCTGGGGAAAAATAAGAGGAAGTTCTATAACAGCGTGTTAATGAAGGGAGAAATATAAATCTAAGAAATAATTAAATTCAGTTAAAGCATGGGAAAAATTCCTCATTGCTGTATTCCCACTGAGGCCGATAATGGTCACTTTGACTGTTATTTCACTATTTTAATGTTTTTCATGCTGCTCACCACCCAGAATTATTTGTGTGGGATGGGTGGTGAGAATTAATTAATTAATTAATTAATGGGACGATACAAAAACAGTGGGCAGCCCTTGTTCAATCTATGTTTTTGTCAAATTTTTTTGGTGGGGGGAGAAGGACAAAAAGCCTAACTATCCATTGTATGCAGGCAGTAAGAAAGCTGCCTCTGGAAACAACTTGGGAGGGCAGAGAGATCATGGCCCAGCACTAAGATGTATAGGACAAAAAAGGGGAAATCCCAGAAGTAGGGAAATGTGAGTTCCTTACCTATGGGAAGCCATTAGGGGAATGCATGAAACAAAACAACCACATAAACAATTGTTTTGAACCCTGGACAATCCACTGTGTACATTTCCATTGAATGGTTCCAAGTCAGCCATGCTTTGGCAGAAATTTAACTCAAAACAGATTGGTTTTCAAATTACTTTGAATGTAACTAGCATCAAAGAACCTTACCATGACAAAGAGAACTATTTACCTTTCATGTAGTTTATCTGAAGTCTCCATACAGACGGAAGAAAGGAGCAAAGGGGTGGGATTATGATGCCTGAAACTATCACTGGAAGGGGGGGTGATTGGGTGGGACTGCTGGGGAACCCCTTAAAACCTTGAATGGGAAAGCTTGGACCCCAAGTCCTGTCTAGCACGCCTGCAACCACTTCTTCTTAATAAAGGATTCCTGTTGGAAGAATTATTCCAAGAGTTCTGTCTTCTTAAGATGCAAAGTGGGGTGGGTCCTTACATTAGACAGGACTTGCAAAATTAATCCACCTGGAAGGGAGACCCTTGCCGGGGGATTTTGCAAAAAATTTACCATGTCAGACAATGGAGAAAGGGAGGGGGAAAACTCCCTGGAAAGAGAGCCGCTGACCCAGTTGGAACCTTGCCAGATGTTGGGATCTGAGAGGTCAGACTCCTCAGGAGAAGAAGTGGTGGAGACACAGGACCACAAGCCTCGCTGGTCAATGGGCGTTGGAAAGAAAAGTGAGTGGGGAAAGGAATCAAGAAAGGTGACCCTGAGACGGGGAACCAAGCAACCAGAATGGAAGCAGGAGATGGAGAAATCCCTGCACGCAAGTGAAGAGGAAGGAAGCTGGGCACCGTACTCAGACTGGATCCTAGAGAAAGCTATTGACCTGATGAAGAGAACTCTCAGCTCCCTAGGAGAGGAGAATCCTGAGCCCTATGGCCGCCCCAGCTCCTGGAACCGCAAAGGAAGAAAAACCGAGGGGGACGAGGAACCTGCAACCCCGGGGACAGCTACTGATCCAGTGGCCCCCACCCCCTACCGGACCACAGATGGCAACCTGGACGGAAGACATTACCACCAACAACGGAGGCACCGATCCATTCCAAGACGTCCACCATTGGAGGTGAAATTCAAAGGGGAGCCAACACACTTGGGGTTTTTCCTAACCCAAGTCCTCAGCTATATGGAGGAATACGGGCAGGACATTCCCAGCGACAAAGCCCGCATCCGGATCGTGCAATCTGCCCTGGATGGACCGGCTGCAGATTGGGTGGTGAACTTGCATGACTCCAATGCCCCAGAACTCAGTAACTTCAACTGTTTCATGTCCTCTTTGAGAAGACGATTTGAAGACCCCCTGGCTGATCGCAAAGCCCGTGAAAGGATAAAAACGATGAGGCAAGGCAAACGCCCGGTGGCTGAATATACACAAGAATTCCGGGCCATTGCCAGCAAACTGAATTGGCCAGAAGACATCCTCCTTAGCCATTTCAAAGACGGACTAAACTATGATCTATATGACGCTTGCCTGCCCCGAGGGGACCCACACCGACTTGAGGAATGGTACGTCTTGGCAGAGGAAGCAGAGATTGACATATTGAAGAGGCACCGCCAAGGAAAACAATGGAGCCGCCCCCCGCCTGAGCTGACACACGAACCGGTGAAATCATCGGCTACAGCCAAGAAGCAAATGGGGTGTTTCAAGTGCGGAAGAGAAGGGCATCGAGCTGTAGAATGCCGCTCAAAGGCCCCCCAGCACAACCCAGACAGATCCCCAATCAACAAACCCAGAGAGTATTCAGCTAAGCCAAAAGAAACGGCCATGAGAATGATGGAAATTGCAGAACCCCCCACCTCTGCTCACCAAGGGGAAAGAACTCCAGCCTACCCCACAGGGCCGGTGGATGCCTCAGATGACAGCTCGGAGGGCGAACCCCTGGTAAGTGAATGCATCACACCCATCTTCAAATCAGTGACTATATTAATCCCCCCCATGCCCGAAGCTGTGAAGGTGAAAGCCTTAATAGTCTCTGGCTGCACCCGCTGCCTCATTAGCCCAACACTAGTGGGGAATCTGGGCATCCCATCCAGGAGACTGGAACAACCAATCTCATTTGGCCAGTTAGATGGATCCATAGCAGGGGGGGTGCCAGCTACCCTAGCCACTCTTCCAATACACCTCTCCCTGGGCAAACATGAAGAGGACATAACGTTTGTGGTAACCCCAGGTATGAAATGCCCAATGATTCTAGGGATGGAATGGTTGAAAAAATGGAACCCCTGGGTAAATTGGAGGACGACAGAAATCAAATTCCCGAAGGGGGACCCTATGGACTTAAAACCCCAAGGGAGGCTACCAGAATCAAGAATAGAAAAAGCATCCATAGGAGAGAAAAAAGATTAACAGAAATACCAGGCAGATGCAAGTGATGTGGCAGTGGGGGCTGTGCTATTACAAGAAAATGATGATGCAGTATTGCAACCCTGTGCATATACATCCAAGAAACTCACGGAAACAGAACAGCGCTGGCCCGTATGGGAGAAGGAGGCTTATGGGATACGTTGGGCATTACTCACGTGGCGACAGTTCCTGGAAGGCAACAAAATCCCCTTCCAGGTGTGGACCGATCACAAAAATTTAGAAGCCCTGAAAACGTCCAGGAAACTCAATCCCAAACAAGCCCGCTGGTCTCAGCATTTTCACCAGTTCCAGTTTAAGCTCAAACATTTACCAGGGAGAAAGAACTTCTTGGCAGATGCTCTATCTCGCATGCCTCAATATAACAGCGCACGAACCACAGACTCTAGACCAATAATGGCAGAGTCACAACTGGCAGCACCAGTAACCACAAGAACCCAAGCCAAGTTAAAACCACAACTGGACAGCCAAACTGGAATTGAATTCAGAAAAAGTTTGGAAACAGATGAATAGTTCCAGAAAAACAAAAATGTGTGCACAATGAGAGATGGGTTGCCTTGGGTAGGGGAAAAGTTATATATACCAACAACCCAAAGAATCACGTTCATGCAGCTTTGCCATGACACAAAATCAGCAGGGCATTTTGGATTTGTAAAAACTTTACACTTAATTAAACGGCAATTTTGGTGGCCATCAATAAAAAAGGACATAGAAAGTTATGTTGCCAGCTGCCCAACCTGTGCATCGGCAAAGAGGTTGCAAGGGAAATCGCCAGGGCTATTACAACCAGTGGCAAGTCCCTCAGCCCCCTGGAGGGAAATAGCCATGGATTTTATAGTGGAATTGCCAGAAAGCAATGGGAATACTGTTATCTGGACAGTCACGGACTTATTTTCCAAACAGGTACACTTTATTCCTTGCCAAAAGATTCCCACTGCAAAGGCCTTAGCAAAACTTTTCATCCAGCACATTGCACGGGGCACCCCAACGCATCATCTCTGATAGGGGAGTGCAATTTACGTCTGCATTTTGGAAGGAATTTTTATCCCTCTTAGGGACCACTCAGGGACTGACATCTAGTCATCACCCTCAGACAGATGGACAAACGGAACGGTGCCATTCAGTACTTGAGCAATATTTGAGATGTTTTTTAAATTTCCAACAGAGTGATTGGACGGACTTACTTCCTTTTGCAGAAGTTGCCTACAATAATGCAGTCCACTCCAGCACAGGCTACACTCCTTTTCAAATAGCCAACGGTCAAAGTTTCAACCCTATGCCAGAGTTAAGCCCAAACGAACCAACGATCCCTTCATTGAAAGAATGGATGGAAAACCTACAAAACACCTGGCCAATAGTTAGAAAATCACTAGATGAAGCTAGGCAGGCATATAAAGCACAAGCCGATAAAAAAAGGGTTGAGCCTACATCATTCATTATAGGAGAAATGGTGTACTTATCTACAAAATACCTAAAGTCCCTACAGCCCTGTAAAAAACTTGGACCAAAATATATAGGACCTTTTCCAATTAAAAGAATCATAAATCCAGTAACAGTAGAATTAGAATTACCCAAAAATCTCAGGCTTGCTGAAAAGAGAGCATCAGTCACCTCTATGGCCAAAAATCCCCCCCCCCACCACCTCCAGTCATGGTAGAGGGTGAACAACACTTCGAAATAAAAGAAATCCTTGATTCTAGGAGATATCATGGAGCAACTCAGTACCTAGTTGCCTGGAAACACCTCCCTCCCTCACAAAACGAGTGGGTCCATAAACGTCATGTCAGAGCCCCGAAGCTATTGAAGAGGTTTCACACAGAGTATCCTAACAAGCCTGACTAAGTTTATATCTGTTTTGTTTTCTTTCAGGTGGATCTCTCTTATTTTTAAGAGGGGCCGGATGTCAGAATCCAATTATATTTCATCTTTAATCATCAAATATAGAAAACCCCAATTCTGCCTTCTCTGGATTCTGCCATAAGAGGGAGAGAAGGGGGAGAACAAAGGGGCTTTTTGGCCCTCACTTCCTTCAGTATACTTCTAAGGAATTGAATGTGTTTATTGCAACATCAAAGAGAGACTTTGAATGTAACTAGCATCAAAGAACCTTACCATGACAAAGAGAACTATTTACCTTTTATGTAGTTTATCTGAAGTCTCCATACAGACGGAAGAAAGGAGCAAAGGGGTGGGATTATGATGCCTGAAACTATCACTGGAAGGGGGTTGATTGGGTGGGACTGCTGGGGAACCCTTAAAACCTTTAATGGAAAAGCTTGGACCCCAAGTCCTGTCTAGCACGCCTGAAACTACTTCTTCTTAATAAAGGATTCCTGTTGGAAGAATTATTCCAAGAGTTCTGTCTTCTTAAGATGCAAAGTGGGGTGGGTCCTTACATTGGTTGTTCCAAGTTCCAAATGAAAAAAAAATAAAAAAAAATCAGGATGAGATGAGTAGGGTGAGAACATCATATCCTCTCTCTCTCTTAAGTGGCTCCCAGTTGCTTTTTTGTTCCATCTACCTGTGCTGGCTGGAGACATGAATCCAAGGACTGTGAAGGAATATAGCTGCATACCAAGGATGACTATTCCAACATCATTTAGTTTGAACATGACTGGACAGGTGGGGACTAATGTGGGGAAGGATCTTGGAAGGAGAAAATTACACTTGGGAATTTGGTGTGCAACTCTGAGGTCTGGCTTTGCTCTACTGTACTGCACTTGACCTTTAATAAGGTATATCTTTCTCATAAAATGGGATCATGGATCATTCTTGCTTAAGGTTGAAGGCAGGTGTGACAGGTATTTTGTTCTGTGCACAGCCTTTTTTCTCCAATCTCCCTCCTATCTTTCAGTTTCCAAATGTCACGTTACCTGAGCAACCTCACTGGATAGGATGTCAAGGAAGCAAATCTACTTTCCGGGGTTTTCCATGTGGACTCTGGACTCTCTTCCATCACCTGACTGTTCAAGCAGCATGTCAAAAACAGCCTAGTAAGTAACTGCATGAAAGCTCTATATCTCATTCATCACACTGAACTTCAGAATAGAAGGCCTGATCCGACAACCATAGTCCTTGGATACATTACTCTACCATTTTGAGATTTGTTTAACCATAAAATACAGTCAGAAATATATTTGTAATGTCCATTAAATTCATCATGGTTTCACCCTCATCTCTTGCAGACAGAGGAATTTATATGTATTGTATTTATTATTCTTTTGTCAGATTTATATCTTAGATTTCCCCCTCCCCCAGGATCTCAAACCAGTGTGCATTACACTCCCTTCCCTTTATTCCCCCTCCCCACAAGAACAACTCTATAGGGTAAGCTTATGCTGAGTGATAGGGTCCAAAGTAACTCAGTGAGCTTCCCTGGGTGGAGATGCATTATCACCTGGATCTTTATGGTCCTTTTCCAAAGCCTTAGTGAGCATACATGCTAGGTCTCACAATCACAATTTGAACATACTTAGAAAACATTTTGGGAGTTGGTTCACAATTGAATCATTGAGCCATGGTGGCGCAGTGGTTAGAATGCAGTATTGCAAGCTAATTCTGCTGACTGCCAGGGGTTCGATCTTGACCGGCTCAAAGCTGACTCAGCCTTCCATCCTTCCAAGGTCAGTAAAATGAGGACCCAGATTGTTGGGGGCAATATGCTGACTCTGTAAATTGCTCAGAGAGGGCTGTAAAGCACTGTGAAGCGGTTTATAAGTCTAAGTGATATTGCTATTGGCAATGTTCTGTTTTTGCCCACTCTCAGATTAAAACAAAAAACAAAAAGTAATAGAAATGTCACAAATGTTCTCATATCATTTTTAATATTATTTGTGATGATTAAAAATCTATCTCCCTTTTCTTATGAGAAGTCATCATAAACCATGACAGTTCCTCTTTAATTCTATTTTTTTACAACCATTGCCCTATAACAGTGATGGCGAACCATTTAGAGACCGCGTGCCCAAACTGTAACTCAAAACCCACTTATGCATCATTGGGTGCCAGGTGGGTGTGGCCCATTGGGTGGGCATGGCTGCGGTGGTAACAGAAGACTGGGTGGGACTAAAAAGTTCAATCAATCAATTCCAACTTTGCAAGATCTTTTTTTTCCTGCGAGAAGTTGAAATTGACTGATTGATTGAACCTTTTTTTTTGTACACGGCGGCGGAGGCCTAAAGTGAAAAGGTTTTATAAAACCCAGCTGAAGACCTAGGACTGGGGCAATGGCGCACGTGCCCACAGAGAGGGCTCTGAGTACCGCCTCTGGCACCCATGCCATAAGTTCGCCACCTCTGTCCTATAAAATCCCCTATACACATACACACACAAACACACACCAAATCACCATTACTGCTATTTCTTGCCAGATACCAGTCCCTCTGGTCCAGGTCCAGCATTGCAATTACTATGGTACTGCTACTCTACACCAGTTCTGCACTATTTTGTCACACCTCATCCAAATAATTGCATTACAATTTTATGGCTTTAAGAGAGAAAAGGAAGCATTTAAGTCAGAAACATAACTTAGACAAGAAATGGCAGAAATGGTGTGTCAACGCTGTAAACATTGGATGTTCCCACTCTGACAACTGATGGAAATTACAGCCATTTTATCTTTGCTTTTAATTTGCTTTTTCTGGTATTTAGAAATCAGGTGCAGAAGGGGAGGGTTGGGATAAATGCTCAAGCTCAGCTAGCCATAATAATAATGCTGCTTTGTGGGAACCCAAGGACAAATTGATTATGTTTTGGCGGGCTGAAGAGCTGGGGAAAAAGCCCGCATTTCAGGCTAATTGGAGAATGTGATTTATAACAGCTTATTGGGGGAGGGAATTGTACTTTATTACTTTGTATCTGGGGGAAGGGAATTTAGTTTTTGGGTTCAACAATGTAGTGCCGATACTTTGTTTCCTGAATAAAATGTTCTTTAAGGAAGAATTTTTGCCTTGAAGTTATTTTGATGGGTTTCATCTATTGGAGCTATGACATGGTGATTTGTTCTATATATGAACATGCTGGATACTTCTCCATTTACATTCATATAGTGGTCATTTGTTCTGACAGTGAAATATTTCATTTTTATATGGACTGCCTAGCCACTTCAAAGTAGCAAAGAGAGAAAAGTTGATTTTTGATTAACAAGTGATAACTTATTTTTAATAAATAAATTAACTCTTAGTTGTACTTCTTTTTCTCCTACAAGATTCTCATTTTTATACCTTTCTTGATAAGGTTTGTCTCTTTTTAAAAATATCAGGGGTGTTCTTCCCCTGATATTTTCCCCCCCATTCATCTGTAATAGAGTAAACCAAAATCAGCTCTGCTTTGGGAAAGAAACATGGTTTGAGTTCACTTTAGGAAGATGGTAGTTGTTGTGGGTTACTTTTTTTAACTTTTTTTTTTTTTTACTTTGGTGTTAAGAATTCCATCCTGGTCTCATTTTCAGCTTCCTCGGGTACACCTGGAGTTCTTCCTACAATGAGAAGATACATCCGTAATTTCTTTGCCTGCAGGATGTGTGCAGAACACTTTGAAGCGATGGCAGCTGAGTCTATGCATGAAGTGAAGAACAGGGATCAGGCTATCCTGTGGCTTTGGTCAAGGCATAACAGAGTCAACGCTCGCTTGGCAGGTGAGGATTCTACTCCTGGAAGTGGACTTGTTGACCATTTTAACCAGCAGATATCCTGTTTCTCTAGCAATATAAGGCTCTCAAAAGCTTACATAGTTGTTAGATTTGCCTCAGAAGAACAGCCCTTGGAGCTAAGTTGGTATGGAAAGAGAACAAGCTCACCCACTGAGTTTCCATGATTGAGGGTTGACTTTAACCTGGTCTCCATGGTCTTAGTCCAATATCTACACCACACTGGCTGTGTCATTGGACTCCCAAGTCTTTTGGGAGCTGGACTACATAATATCTAAAAGATGACAGCTTCCACCTTTGGAAAAAGTACTCAGTGTAGGAATTTTAAAAGAACATGACGGCAGCTCCATTGTTAAGCACTGTGGTCATTAAGCAAATCACCATGAATCATTTAATATGATATGACCATGACCATGATTTACAATTTCCTGCTGGTTTTTCCATTGACTTCAGATATTGGAAGCTGACTTTGAAGGTTGCAAATGGCAATCCCATGACTGTGGGATGCTATGACCTTCATAAATGTGCTCTGGCTTTTAAATGCCCAAATTGCAATCATGTGACTGCAGGGATTCTGCAAGTAGCTGCAACTTCAAGGACCAATTATAAGTCTCTATTTTCAGCACCATCATATGGTCAAATGTCTGCTGAATAAGTGGCTGGTAAGCAAGGACTACCTGTATATTCTGACTGAGTTCCATAGGACATAGAATAACAGAGTTAAGAGTTAAGTCTTCCATTCCAATCCCCGCTCAAACAGGAGACCCTATACCAGTATTTCTCAACCTTGACGATTTTAAGGCATGTAGACTTCAACTCCCAGAATTCCACAGCCAGCAATGCTGGCTGTGGAATTCTGGGAGTTGAAGTCCACATGCCTTAAAATCGTCAAGGTTGAGAAACACTGCCCTATACCAATTCAGACAAATGGCTGTGCAGTCTCTTTTTGAAAGCTTCCAGTGATGGAGCACCCACAACATCTGAAGACAAGCCGTTCAATTGGTTGATTGCTCTCACTGTTAGGAAATTTCTTAGTTCTAAGCTGCTTCTCTCCTTGGCTGGTTAGCTAGTTATCTTAGTTAGTTATCCCCCTTAGCTTTTTTTTACAGCAATTGATTGCTTCTGTCAAAAGAGACATGTACTCTATCTCTGCCCCCAGCAATAGCTTCCTTTTTTGTCTGGGAAATTTGATTTCAGTTAACATGGCAAAAATTTCAAATATGAAAACTTTCATTTTAAATATTATTCTGTAGCTCTCCTTGGAGACAGTTGATGTTGAATGTGTATTGGGGAAATTGAACATAGGTAGTCTTGACTTACGATCACAACGGAGCTCTAAATTTCCACTGCTAAGCAAGACAGTTAAGTGAGTTTTGCCCCATTTTATGATCTTTCTTGCCACAGTTGTTAAGTGAATCACTGCAGTTGTTAAGTTAGTAACACGGCTGTTAAGTGAATCTGGCTTCCCCACTGACTTTGTCAGAAGTTGGCAAAAGGTGATCACGTGAACCCGGGACACTGCAGCTGCCATAAATACATGCCAGTTGCCAAGCATCCACGTTTTGATCATAGAGAGGCTTCAACAGTTGCAAGTGTGAAAAATAGTCAGAAGTCACTTTTTTCAGTGCAGTTGTAACTTCAAATGGTCACTAAATGAATGGTTATAAGTTGAGGACCGTCTGTAATAGCTTGTTTCTAGAACTGGTTGGCTTGGCTACCTGTTCATTCTACACTTTAGTGCAGTTACCTTCCAGGACATGCTGGCCTTTTTAATAGCCACCTCTACTCCACTGGTTCTATTGCTCTAATGCTGGGGTCTGAATCAAAAAATAGGTAGTGGCCAAATTGATTCTGTATTATGATGGCACAAACTAAAAATGATCAGAGTTCTTGATAGAAGAAGCTTCCTCATCTTTTTTGTTAGGGACTGATTAAGGGAGAGATTGTTTCTTGATTTAGATAGTTCCAATTATAAATGGAAGCATTTTTGAAACACACATACACAGAAAGAATTTGTATTTAATTGAGTCTACATGCTGCATCTGTTTTGCTGACTCTAAAACAAAATAAATATTTTTTTTCTTTCTGAGAACGCTTTGCTTAGTACTCCAACAGGCTAGCTTTCTGGCTTGCGGAGTCCTCTAACTCCCTGCTTCAGCAGCCCTGAGGAGTCTGCAACTTGAAAAAAAGGCACCTCATCACCACCCACCATGCTGAAGAAAAACACCCCCTCCTGCCCTATAAAAGGAGGAATTGCAGCAAATGTTGTGGGCAGGAGAGAGCATTGTGAGCTAACCCTGCCCGCCGTAACAAAAAAATTCCCTGAAGAATACTTGGATCGGAAGGGGCAGAGAGGGTCAGACAGCAAACACCAATTCTTGTTGCCAGAAAGGAGTCAGCAGCTGGTGGTTTTGAACCAGAGACTCAGCTACTAAATCTTCTTCATCTTTTCTACTGGGGGCTTCTAAAGGCTGACACGTGCCTTGAGAGGACCTTCCTCCAGGGTTGCTGCCCAAATGCTGTGCTTCTCACAGACAGATGCTGTCCCTTGTTCTACAGTCCTGTTTTCCCTGACAGGAGGAGGAATAGGTGACTCCCCTTGACAGATGATTGTGAAGGGAGAAAGTAGAGGGACTCATTGACCAAGCCAGAGAATCAAAGGAGTTATTTACTCTTTGTTTCTCTTGGGTTTTCCCACCCTCTCTGTCTATCCCTAGGGTCATAATCTCTGATCTTCTAAGGCATAGTTTCTTACTCCCTTTACACAGCTACCCATCCATACATTTATTCCTTCAAGCCCGGGATAAATAACAGCCACTAAACAGGCTAATTCCTCTTCAGAATTTCACCAGAGCCTTTAGAAGATGCCTGTTTAAGTCAGTCTCTTAAACGCTTCGGACTGTCAACAATCCAAGGGAATGTTGATGGCAAATCTACTAACAATAAAGTAATTGCCCAATGAATGTAGACAGCAAATTCTTTATTGTAAGCGTTTACTAAGATTATAATGTTATATTTCAAATATCCACAAGATGTTTCGACAATTTAAAACTTCCTTCTGTCACAAGTTCCGACTAATGAAGCACTTCAAAGAACTTTCAGGCATGTTTCCTAAAGTCTTTATTTGCAGAGCTACAAATTATGCCGGTCAACATTGGACTAATTGATGCCAGAATCTGAACTTCCGGTGGCTGGCATCAAGCTTTCCTTGCTCAACCCCTCCCTTCTCATGCAGTCACAGGTCACATTATCCAATTAGTGAGAAGGTCAAAAGTTTACTTCCTCTTTCTTTCCCGGGCTTTTTTCCCCCGCCCAGTCTAAGCTAAGTATTAACCCAATAAATGCCCAACAGTTTTGCATATTGTCAAAGCAAGAATATACAGTATTTGCAGCATTGACATCCGGCCCCCCTTACAAGAAGGACAGATCCTGTAAGGAAAACAAAAGCATTTGTTAAGGGTTATCTTTCGGTTTGCTGGGGTGTTTCACATGAAACTTTTCGATCAATCTGTCAGCGTTCACTTCACTAGATTTCACCCAGGTGGCTTCAGACAATGGGTATCCCTTCCATTGTACCAAGTACTGTAATTTCCCTCTAAAGATTCTGGAGTCAAGAATACGTTTCACTTCATAGTGGGTCTGCCCTGCCACTACGAGGGGTCCAGGTGCCTTCTTTGGAGGAGGTCTCAAAGTGGAGCCCCGATAAGGCTTCAACAAACTACAATGGAAAACTGGGTGAATTTTCCCTAACAGTTTAGGGAGCTTTAGTTGTACTGTGACTGGGTTGATGACCTTTACTATGGGGAAAGGCCCCAAGAATTTTGGTCCCAATTTCTTGCTGGGCAATTTGAGGCGTAGATATTTAGTTGACAGATAGACCTTTTCCCCAACTTGGAATGTTCTTTGGGGATGACTGGTTCACCTGGGGTCAGTGAGACGGCCATGTGCGCTCGCTCATTGGGTGGCCTAAGATGCCCGGTAACATCTGTTGAATCAATGGGGGGATCAGGCCCTATAGGTAGTCTCACAATTCTCATTCCTTTCTCCCACCAGATAAATGGCTTCCATTTGTCCAACCAGGCTAGTCCCAGGATCACTGCCTCTAGGTTGGCCCCAATGACGTCAACCATGGCCCCTGGTTCCGGATAGAGATAGGCCCAGCGATTTAGATGAGAACGCACTTGGTTGAGGAAAAAAATCAGCTTCTCTGGGTCCCCATCAAACGTTGCATTGAAGGGTGGTGCAAACACAGGCTGCTGTGGCCCCCACTGGGGCTGGTTCCATGGCTGCTGGCCAGCGGGGATGGATGGTACCCCCTGCAGCTGTAGGCCTCCCAATGGTGGCTGCGCAAGTGGGGGTTGTAGTGGTCTTCTCTGTTGTTGGACTGGAGGGGGTGGTGGTGCCCTCTGCTGCTGCTGATCATTCATCTGCCGGGGAAACCCATCTACCCCTTGCTGCAGATGCCTCAGACTGGGACTCACCCTCTCTTCAGGGTTGGGGTCTCTGGCTGGCAAAGGCAGGGTCTGACAGGCTTCCTGCTGGGCTCCCCATCGCTCTTGTGGCCACCCCAGTTGCTGTAGGCCCCAACCTGGCTGCAGATTTATGCCCAGGGGTTGCACGTTTGGGGGCTGTGGCCAACCTCCTTGCTGTGGCTGTTCTCCCCCCAGCTGCTGATTTCCTGGCATCTGTACCACCCCAAGGCATTGCAAGGCCTTTATTGGCTGTGGTAAGTTCAGAGGACATGGATCAGCCGCTTGCTGGGGAACCCAATTTCCCCTTTGCTGCAGAGGATTCAAACTGGGATTCTCTCTCTTAGGGATGAAGGTTTCACTTTGTAGGGACTGTTTTCTGTTTCTCATTTCTAAGTTTTGAAATCTTTCCAACGACTCACCCATAACTGTGTTATCTGTCCATTCTGCCTTTGAAGTCTTCGCTCTCAGCTGGGAAATCTGCCAAATTTCTCTCTCCCCCGGCTTGCTGGCTGTCGCTTCCCCCCCCGGGGAGACTGTTGCAGCTACGGGGCTGGTTTCAGGCAATTTTTTTTTCTCCATAATGAGATCTCCCCCGAGGCTACTGTTGATAGATCGGGACGTAGATCGTTTGAAAAGAGTGTTGGATTCTGGCATGATGTCACAAGTTCCGACTAATGAAGCACTTCAAAGAACTTTCAGGCATGTTTCCTAAAGTCTTTATTTGCAGAGCTACAAATTATGCCGGTCAACATTGGACTAATTGATGCCAGAATCTGAACTTCCGGTGGCTGGCATCAAGCTTTCCTTGCTCAACCCCTCCCTTCTCATGCAGTCACAGGTCACATTATCCAATTAGTGAGAAGGTCAAAAGTTTACTTCCTCTTTCTTTCCCGGGCTTTTTTCCCCCCCCCCCCCGCCCAGTCTAAGCTAAGTATTAACCCAATAAATGCCCAACAGTTTTGCATATTGTCAAAGCAAGAATATACAGTATTTGCAGCATTGACACCTTCGTTGTTTTCAGCAGATTCTCAATATAGAATGCTTATCTGCATTTTGGAACGCAAAGTCCACAAATTCTGAGATAGCGATCATATCCATTCAGAATTAAACCAACTCATTTCATCTAATTCAGAAAATCAGGGTCAGCCCACTAGGTAGACCAGACTAAGAAATAGATTCCAAAGGAAGACTGAAAGTACTTTGACTGAAATTGACTATAATAAAATAATCTTATAGTCTGATCCTACTGCACCTTCTTCTTATAGTCTGTCGAATTTCTCTGGACTTAAAAACTATTTCAGCCCTTTTTTCCTAAATAGGAGCTCTTGCATATGTCTATAAAGCAGTGGTTCTCAACCTGTGGGTCAGGACCCCATTTGGGGTCGAATGACCATTTCACGGGGGTCGTCAAACAACACAGTCCACCATTTTTCCCCCTTTTCCTTAGCTGTGCTACTCCCTTTTATTCTATTGGCTTTTGAAAGCCAATAGAATAGACTTTCTTGAATAGAGCCAATAGGAATTGTCCAGGCTCTCTGCCCTGCTGAGCCCGCCAAAAGTCCCATTCTGCAAATGGTGCTGCACCAGTTGAGTAGTCCTCGACTTACGACCGGTTGAGTAGTCCTTGACTTACGACAGGTTGGGGGTCATGGCATTAAAAAGGTTGAGAACCACTGCTATAAAGGTCATGTTCCTTTTCCTCTTTAGTTAGAGATAGAAGGTTGACGATATAATTGGGTATATTTCAAATATTGGATACTTAGAAATGATAACAACTGGGCATCCTTTGCTTGCCCTGTTCTGAAAAAATTGGGGGAAGCAAAATTTGTTTATTTATTTACATTTGCTTTTTCAAAACATTTATATGCCCATCCAGCTCAAACAATTCAACTCTGAGTGGTGTATAAAATTCATTAAACAAAAATACAAAAGGAAAACAGTACAGGTAGTCCTTATTGTTAAGTCAGACATATGGGTTTTGCTCCATTTTACGACCTTTCTTGCCACAATTATTAAGAGAATCACAATTAAGTGAATCACTGCAGTTAGTAACGCGATTGTTAAGTGAATCTGGCTTCCCCATTGACTTTGCTTGTCAGAAGGTTGCAAAAGGTGATCCCATGACCCTGGGGCACTGCAATAGTCGTAAATATGAGTCAGTTGCCAAGCAGCTGAATTTTGACCATGTGACCTTGGGGATGCAACAATGGTGGTAAGTGTGAAAAGTCATTTTTTTCAGTGCCATCGCAACTTCGAACAATCACTAAAGGAACTGTTGTAAATCGAGGATTACTTGCATGTGCCACTGAAACAAAATATAACAGTTTAATGGTTTGTTGTATTCTACCAAATGTGACCTCTGTTTATCTTGACTGAAATTCTTGGGTTTTAACTGCTTAAAGTTCTTACTGTACTGGTCCACTTTGGCAAAGGCAAGTCAGATGTTAGATAAATCTACATGGTGCTTTTTTTTCCAACAACAACAACCTGACATTAAGGAAAGCGGATTCATTTCTAAGATAGAATCATGCATTTTACTTTTGTAAGTGAAAGTAATGGTATTATTTCCATGATGACGATGTGCTGCAATCATTCCCCCCCCCCCTTAGGAATAGCTTATAATTTAAATTTTGGAAGTTCCTTGCTTGCTTTTGTTGTCGGAGCAGAATTATCTATATATGTATATATACCATATATCTATAATAGACATAATAGATATAATATTTCACATTTCACAACCCATAAAGTTGGACAGGACAGGATAGCACCTTCAGTCAACTCACTGAATTGGAACAAAGAAAATATTGGAAGGCTTGTAATAACAAATGAATAAAGAAGGTTATTTTTATCAGGGTTTTTTTTTTCATCCAAGCTTTTACATCCTTATCTGGAGATGGATTATTGAAGCAATTTTGTTGCAGAATTTTTTTCTTGGCTAAGAACCAGGGAGTTCAAAAGTTTGCATTGCTTTCAAAGTAATGAAGCAAATTTTTTTTTTTCTCTTCAAACCTGTTTCATTGTCAACCATTTTGCACATGCTTTTATGGAAAAGTAGTGTTAATATTTTGATGTGTACTTCTCTTCATATTTTATGTCACAGTTGCTAAAAACACAGTAAAAATTGTTGAAAGCATTAGCTAAGTATTTCATAACTATTTCCGTAACTATTTAGAGATATCACCTTTGGGTTATCTTTCAATTTTTGAAAAGGAATAAGCATTGATCAGCTTTTAAAGCAAATCAGTATACAGTAGTAGCAGGTTTATTTAAGATATGTTTATAATTAAATGCAGTACAGATAAATAAAATTGTATGCCATATACACCAACATCATTGTAGGAAATTAGCTAATGCAATATAATAATCAATATAAATGTTACCTAATACTAAAAAAACTTTAGTATAATCTACAGTGAATAATGAGTTAAGTTTTCTGGCTTCATAAATGTCCATCATAAAGAAGCATTTTAAGGGCTTTTTAAAAATAAGGTATTGGATGCAGTAATTAGTTAGGCATAAGTCAAACCAGTCATTTATAGACTAAGTAGCTTGTGAATATTGATGTGTGTGAGAATATTATTTGAATATTCATGATAGTAAGACTTTCATTTTTTGTTCAGGTACAGAAAGTGAAGATCCCAAATTTCCCAAGATCCAGTGGCCTCCCAAAAGCTTGTGTCCTTCATGTCATTACATCTCAACTGATGGAAAAAAGTTTTTGTGGAATGAGAATCGAGTCTTGATGTTTCTCAAATGGCATTTTTCTGAAAAAAACATTTACATGGATTCTCCCCTAGAGCATCAAAGAAGAAATGGTCGAGATGTTGCTCAACAAAATCATGAAGATGAACGGAAGCTGGAAGGGGGAGGAAGAGGAGAAGAGAATGACCAAGGCAATCAAAAGGAGTCAGATGAAGAGAAGAAGGCAGAGCAGCTAGAGGCAGGGAAAGTGGAAAAGAAGAAATATGATTTGGGAAAACCTGGTTCTCCAGAGTGGCATAAACCAAGCATTGTCAAGATGAGCACAAAGGCAAAAGGAATGGTGGAGGATATTGTTGATCTTGATACATTTAGTGAGCAGCATTTTAAGAGCAAAGCCTTGAAGATGGCAAGACAGGTTAGCGACAGAGAGAGGCGGACTAAGAGGGACACTCGGCTATTCCTGATGGAGAATGAGGGCCACCGCTCACTTGATTATATTAGAGAGTCCCTGAGGCACAAGAACTTGGGAGCCAAACAGTTCTCTGGCATCCAAGTGGAAAAAGAGAATACTTTGAGGGGAAACCAGTGGATCTATATTCTGGGAATGGGTTTCTCCCGGTTGGATGTCAGCTTGTGTGTAGTCTTGTATTTGCTTTCTTCTGTCTGCCTGTTGGGCATGTACACCTTCTTCCGCATGCGCATGGGTTACCGCAAGGCCCGGTTAGGCTACTCATTGACATGAAATTGAAGCAGAGGTACAGCAGCCATTAGGTAATGGAAGGGGCATGTGCATATCAGTTTTATGTGGTGATCTTTCACTAAACTAACAATTCCTGTACTGAATATACACAGATGAAAAAAAAATACACAGATAATATATTGGTTATGAAGGATGCAAATCAGTAGAATAGTAGTGGACCTCCTAAAACGTATAGAAATTGCTACTTCTATATTTGAAAGAGTACCTAGTGAACAGACTGGTCTGTTTTGTCACAGTTGCTAGATCATTTATATATATTTGTGATTCTGTACCAGAATAAAATAGGTGAGTGTAGTGACAAAAGGGGCATGGAATCATATTTCAGAGCACACGGTGACAGGCTGATTTTCTGAGAAGTCAGGGGCTCTTTATTGTTTTGGTTTGTGGTGGTGGGAGAGGATTAATAAACAGAAAAGATTCAGATCTCATTAGATAAATGTAGTACGATCCTCTTTTAAACAGTCAGAACGTAACACAAAAACTGTTGCTGTTTTAAGAGAAAAAAAAGCACGAGAAGTTTAGGACCAGCAACAAAGTTGTATTTCTGAAATCTTTGTGCCTTGTGTCTTGAGGTATGTCCAAGCCCTGTAACATGGTAAAGAAATGTTATGGTCTAGGTATACAAGCAGCCTAAAATACTGTGCTGGAAGATCTCTTGAACACTTTTAATCTGTTTTCCAAAGCTTCTGTGCCACTATAAAATTACCCCTTAGTAAAGCCAGATATATGGCGTTGTTTGCAAAAAGAATTAAGTTCTCCCTTCCATACCCATCTAAAATATAAAGCTTGGTTTGGGAACTTGAATAATTTAATCCAATCTTAGATAGCTGGGATCTATAATGCTGGTATCAGTTAGTTGAAATGACCAGTATTTCTCTCTCTTTTTTTTTCAAATAATCTTACTAAGAATTACAAGTAGGAAAAATAAAAACTAATAACAAACTATGAAAAATAGAAAAATAGAAAAAAATACAAAAAAGAAAGAAAGGAAAAACAAGTAATACTCCCCTTCACCCTGGCAAATAAATACATTTTCAGTAATTTAGTACTATCTCTCTCTATACACTCACAACTCATTTATTCACTAGAAAACAAAATTCAAAGCTTTGCCATTTGTTCTTTGTCAGCAAAAGTCCAGTAAAGGAAACCAGATATAACTAATTTTCTGTTTTATCCTTGATTGAATAAGACAACACTGAATTTTTAACAACCTTAAGTTTTAAACCCTTTAAATATAGTCCCAGACTTTAATAGGTCTCTTTTGTAAGTCCAGTAAGGAAAAAGTTATTTTTATGGTTTAATTGTACATCATTTGGCAGTGAAATATCCATCAGTTTCATTTGCATATTCAGTATATCTTTATATTTTCTGCTTGACACAGTTAAGTCTAATTTCATACTTATCCATTATAGCTTATTCTTTTTGTCTAACTTCATTGTCCCATGTTCCATCATATCAAATAGCTTTGAAGACCAATATTCAAAAACATACATTAAGGCTTGTTGCTCCATTATTTATTTCTTTGTTAACAAAATTAATGTATTATCCTCTAGCTTCCTCTGGTGCCAAACCTTCAAGGTCCCATTATCATGTTTCCTCTTTAAAAAGCCCAAACAATCACCAATTCCCGCAAGAAGAATTCTTCTAATTAATTCAAAATTATAATTCCAGGGCTATCTGGACTTTTAATCCTTGTTACCATTCCAAAATCATATTCTATATACCTTTTTGCTGTTTAATTCAAAAGTTAATATTTTTCTAGAGCCTTTAAAATGACATTTAAAGCATCTTTCTCCAAGAAGGTAACTCACTCAATGAATACAGCAAATATTTTCAGGACAATAAAAGAAATAATTCAAAAAGTGATTAAGAAATGAGGGCCAGGCAGGCTTTATGTCTTTAAAAGGCTACTCTACAAGTATGAGCTTGATAGTTCAGTATCCCTCCACTCTAGCCACTCAACACATAAGCTGACCACAAAACAACCATTCCGTGATCTACTCACAAGGAGGAGCTATCTGGAGTCACATGGGTTATCTCAACAATCTCTCCTTCCTCCGGAGAGATTTTGCTGGTCATTCAGCAACAAATTTCCTTGTACACCTGGTCCTTCTGCCAACAGAATGTTTCTCAATCTCAGGAACTTGCTGTCTAGACTTCAACTCCCAGAATTCACTAACCAGCTTGCTGAGGTTGAGAAACACAGTAGTATTTCAAATGATATGAACTCTCATTAGACCAGTGATTCTCAACCTTTCTAATGCCGTGACTCCATAATACAGTTCCTCATGTTGTGGTGACCCCCAAGTGGGTGTGGCCACCAATAAGAGGGAGTAGGACAGCTAGGGAAAAGGGAAAAAAATGGCAGACAGCATGCTTTGGTGACCCCCGTGAAATGGTCATTCGACCCCAAATGGGGTCCCGACCCACAGGTTGAGAACCACTGCATTAGACGGTAGTATTTCAAATGATATGAACTCTGATATCATTTAATGCTGTAGAATATTTAAGGCTTCCCTTGGTACAATGGCCTTTCTAACAATTATGTGCCATATGATTATGTGTCTAAGGTAATAGTATGGTTAAAATAGAGAAATGAAGGGTCAGTAAAATTACTACTCCCAATTAAAATGTTGCGGTCTGTGGGTCAAAGACTTAACTAAATGTTTACTATGAATCATATTTGCACTAAATGAGAAACATTAGACTTTCACAGGTAGCATATAGTTCAGACCAGCCTGGTTCCATATTGTAGAAAAAAATTTCTGAGAGTTTTGAAATACCGTTTTTTGATAGAACAAGATATTTCTTTAATTGCAAATTGCCATTGCATTCTCTTATGGTTGTTTACAGGTGACAGTAAGCACCGGAATTATATTTTGTTTGTTTAATAGTTGTATGGGTAGTCAAGGTAAGATGTACTCTATACTCTATATAATTCAAATTATATAAATGTCTTTCATACACTCTGTGGTAAAAATGATGCTACCATTGCCTTGTTTCTTGTCTGTTAACATAATTGTAGTCTCGGCTATTAATTTATTCAAGGGACAGTAGATTTGAAAGACTATTCTAAAAACCTGTTAATTCTTCTTCGCTATCATCTGTTTAAGAGGTTATAATTCGGTGTGCTTTTTAGTCAGATTTTAATAGCTAGGGTAGGAATTAATTCTTCTACTCTCATGGAACATAGGAACATACCAGAACTACTCTCAAAAACTATGTATTGCCTCAAAAATTAATTTCAGAGTTCCTCAAGTCCTAATATAGTTGGTACTATTTGTACATGTATGAGAGTATGTGTGCTTGGACAAGGATGGGGAATTTAAATGATTTACCAAATGCAAAGGATTAATACAAATAATAGAAGTATTCCTAATAACTCTATGTATTCCTTCTTTTCCCCTTACGAGCAAAACTGAGAACAGTTCCCTTCCATTCACACAGTATATGGTGATGGAGACTATTAGAAGCCAGAATGTATTCTGTTGATCAGATCTATCCTATAAACGGCCACTTGATTATCCTATAGTGACAATAATGATGTCTTCTTCATTCCTTATAATGTAAAATGCAGATGAAGATCAAAACTAAAAACCAAAATCACAGAGTAGGCCAATAAGATTAAATAGTATGTCCTTCTTGATCAGATATATCTCTGACTCCAACTAAATAAGAAGGAACATAGTATTGAATGAGGTTTGCTGGTCACATTCTGCTTCATAACAAATGTGGTTGAGACTGGGATGGAGGATGGGGAATTACCAAGTCACATATTTGTGCCACAGACTTGACTGCCCAATAAATAAGTGTTATAAGTATAGTCTACACTGAAGTTGCTAATTACATGATCTTCACAAATATGCCTTGTGTTCCCAGAATTTCTATGGCAGTCTACCTCAAAAGGTCATTGTAGAGATAAATTGTCCTTAACCATCTTGCCATATGATATAACAATACATTTATCTATTAGATTTTTCTCTTTTATCATAATGCTGGTTGCCTTGTAATGGAACACTGAAGGAGCCACTTTAAACAGGAAAGAAGACTTTTCGGTTAGCTTTTAGTTCTTCAGAGCCATGTGAGGCTGGTTTATGGGTCTAGGACAACTCAGCATGGCCAATTCGCCACAGTTGTGGCCAAGTCACTCCGGGACAGCTCACCACAGGACAAGAGTTACACTAATATCAAAGAAATGGTGGAATAGAATCGTTAAAGAAAGGATGTAAAAGGAGGGACACAATGAAATGCGAATGATAAAAATTAAGACATTTTAAAAATTATTTTAAATACTTGAATTGTTGAATTATCTCACAGCGCGTTGCCCCCTGGTGAGTTGGCCGTGCCAAGTTGTCCCATTCCACTGGTTTACTGCATTTTCTTTGTATTCCACCATGCTGTGTGGAAACGGTCCAAAAAGCCTCTACCCAAATTATTTGACCTAGTGGAATAAATTTATTTTTGCTAATAAATAAATGTGCGTACGTAGCCTGTGTATTTGCTTTATGTTTCTAAGATTATGATACATTGCACTGACTAGTGGGAAGGAAGTGGTAAGTTTATAAACTAAATCATACACACGGGCACAGACACACACACTGAGGGATTATACAACTATTGAAATACACATTTCTAAAATAGATTTAGAAATTGAAATTGAAGTTACTCCATAAAACTTGCTATAAAATTCCTTTGTACCTTTGAATTTAAAAAAAAATAACAGAAGATTTCTTTTGTTTTTTCTTTTTTAAAAATAATTTTGTTAAAGTTTATAATTGCAATAGTAAAAACATGCTAAAGAACTAAACTAAAGACAGAATTAAAAGAGTAAAAAGTACAAAGGAAAAGGTAAAAATGAAAAAAAGAAAAGAAAGAAAGAAAAGATTGACTTCCAACTTTAACCACAACTAATATAAACAATTTAGTTTAATTCATCTCTTAATTTACAACCAATGAGCTCTTCATCCCCTGCCCATCTCTTACCTATAAGCAAAGCACTGTCCTTTCAGTCTTAACTATCAGCAAAATTCCATTAAGAGTTATCAGAAATTACATATTTTAACCTTGATCAAATAAACCAACTTTATATTCCTGCCTTTTACTGTACTTCTGGCAACCTTAATCTTTAGTCCTTTCAAGAAATGTTGTAGAACTTGATTTCATTTCTTTCTTTTCCCATGGGAAGGATTATTTACAATTAATTCCAAAATCTTATTTCAAATTTATCTAGACTTTAATTCATTTAAAATTCTGCAATCAAAGTCTTAACTATTTGCTGTTTATTTCAAACATTTTAAAATTAGTAAAAATGTGTAGTTAAAACTTTTTTTCATTAAGGATTTAAGGCAGACTCACTGGTTGCTTTCAGACTTGTTGATCCAAAAGTCTCAAATAGCTGAAAAGTAGTTAAGCAATTTCCAAATGCAATTATAAAAGCATGTATGCAAACGTAGTACCCTTTTTAAAGGCATCATCTGCAGACTGGTTATTCCCTCATCTCCCATTGCTCAAATTCCACAGGAGACTGTTGAGAAGCAACTGTCTCTAAAGCACTTGTGAGTGATCTCCCGTCCTCTCTTTGTCCAGAGAGGTTTAAAGAGACAGTTTACATATGGGCTCTTCTTTCTTCACTGTGGTCATCAGGCCTGGTTTTTGCAGAACTGTATTTAGTCCATTTCTTCCTCCACGAGAAGGAAAAAAACAATTAGTCTTAAAAATGACCATCGGTTACGGAACTTTTATATTTGAGAAACAATACAATTGATACTGTAGCTCAGTGATGGCGAACCTTTTAGAGACCAAGTGCCCAAACTGCAACCCAAAACCCATATGCATCGTCGGGTGCTGGGTGGGTGTGGCCCATTGGGTGGGTGTGGCTGCGGCGGTAACAGCAGACTGGGTGGGACTAAAAAGTTCAATCAATCAATTCCAACTTTGCAAGAACTTTTGTTTTCCTGCCAGAAGTTGAAAATGACTGATTGATTGAACCTTTTTTTTTTTTACACGGCGGCAGAGGCCTAAAGCGAAAAGGTTTTATAAAACCCAGCTGAAGGCCGGGGCGACGGTGCGCGTGTCCACAGAGAGGGCTCTGAGTGCTGCCTCTGGCACCCATGCCATAGGTTCGCCACCACTGCTTACTCAGCAACCAAAGAAATTGGACTGCCCTATGTGCTATTTGTCTCCTAGCCAATAATGCAAAAAGGAATATTAATTTTCAAGCAGGAAATTTTAGTTCTCTGGATCTTGTACAGCATTTTATAATCAGTATAATATCAGGCTTTTCTATCTCTTGTGTTATATGATGGCACTGAAACAGATTACATCACTGAATGTTTCTTTGGTACGTTCCATGCTCTATGATCCCCACCCCCAGATGTTTTCTTTCTGTGATTGGACAAGGCCACCGGAACAGCTATTGTATGAATGAGCATCTTCTTTCATAACTGCCATCATCTCCATAACATGATGTCTGAATTCCAAAGGGGCCTTCAGTCCTAAAGCCCAGAGAGGCCTATAGAACAATATTAATGTAGTATGTATGAAAAGAAGATGACAGGCGAGAGTTGCTAGCCTATCCTAGAATATTACTTTCATTAGTTTCCTTGATATCAATGTGAGGCTAGAGTAGCAGGAAAATGTATCCTGCATGGTATTCCCAACAAGTAACTGAGATGTTAGAGAAGTGACATTGTTAGCACATTAAAAATGGACTTCATTTCACTGGGGAAAATGTATTTTATGGTAGCTACTGACAAAGCCGTATAAAATTTAAGAACCTACATTTTACTGTACTCCCATAGTTTATACTGCCAAACATGCTAAATAAAGTAAAAGAAGCTTATCTTTGTCAATTGGATCCTTATAGAGATCTTGCAAGCAGGGACATAAATGTAAGTGCCCTTAGAAAACATGAGCTGTGTGAACGACTATTTATTATCTACCCCCAATGTATCATTTTGCCTTTTTTATATGTGCCTGGGCTCCAATATAATAAGCCAAAGGAAGCCTGTCACTTTCCTCTCAGTTTCTACCACTGTGCATAATTTTATGTATCTAATATCTCCCCTTCTTGCTAACTTGTAAATTATCATCAAAAAGAAGTTGTACCATTTCCTTGGATGCTTTGATTGCCTACACCTTTTCTAGCTCTCCTGTAGCCTTTCGGAAGTAGGACTGAAACCATGCACAATATTTCCTATATGGCTATTCCTTGGATTAGCATAAAACAAGCAATTTGTGTCTTTCTTTGTATTCATTCTTAATAATTTCCAGAAGAGGATTTCTGCTTTCATGACACCTATATGTTTCACCAAAGACCACAACCTTAAGATTTCTTTCCTGGTTGAATCACTTTTTGCTCTGGAATGCATCACTTTACCCTGGTTCACACTGAACTGCACTTCCCATTTTAATTTATCTTTCCCAGATTTGGAGGAATCCTTCTGAAGTGCTACACATCTACTATTTTGTTTTAAGCACTCTAAATAATTTGTTGTCCTTGGGGAATTTGACACCTCCTCCCTGCTCACATCCAGTGTGTCGGGAAACCCCCAATGTCTTTCAGTGCAGAATGTTTCCATGGTGGGGGCTTTTCTCCCTTGTGCATCCAGTTTACTTACTTTCAAGATAACTATCTGATTGCATTGAATCTGATGAGTCCATGTCTGAATTCCAATGTACATTGAATGAAGTCATCCAAATGTTGTATGTGTGTGAATGTGTCTGTGTATAATAACTTATCTGCAAATTTAGAGGAACAGCCAAGGTACAAATTGGGCATCCTATTAAAAAATAGGCCCAAATCCTGTTTTTCTGGAATGATCAGAAATTAGGGTCTATAGTCTTTCCATTCTGGTTGCAAGGGTATGATTTTCTAAAGAATAGGATAAACTTGTTGTCTCTACCATCCCCCTCTAAAATCCCAGGACCACTGCTCCCATTTCTCTTGTCCTTTTATCCTTGTTCCTAATCATTAAAGAAAATGGTTGTTTTCCAAAGCTGAAACTTGGGCCATCTGCTCCCTTAGTACTAGCTAAATCCTCCTGTAACCAATTCATTGGGATTACATTGACCTCTACTAATCCCGGCCCTTCCCCTGCTGTAGAGGATTTAAAAGGATTACAGACTGCTGATAATAAACTTTATTAAGGAGGCAGTAGTGGGTGTCAATCCGATTTGATGCCTTTTCCTCCCTTATATCTTCACTTTACTGAGAATTGAGTCTGGGAGAACAAAATATAACAGCGCAACAGTGGAATTCTATATGCCCTATTTGGAGAGCTCTGAGTTTTTTGCATTTCAGCCAAAAAATGCTCCAAGAAGGATAAAAAGAGTTCAGAGTTAAGAGAACTTTGGAAGTTCCAAAGAGTTTTTCATACTCACTGTCTTAAACACCACAACCAAACTGAAGCAAATTGTGAGATAAATTGTGAGATAAGCTATATTCAGACCAATAAATATTTTTCATTAGGACAGTGGTTCTCAACCTTTTTAATGCCGCGACCCCCAACCGGTCGTAAGTCGAGGACTACTCAACCGGTCGTAAGTCGAGGACTACTCAACTGGTGCAGCACCGTTTGCAGAATGGGACTTTTGGCGGGCTCAGCAGGGCAGAGACAGCCTGGACAATTCCTATTGGCTTTTGAAAGCCAATAGAATTAGACTCTATTCAAGAGAGTCTATTCTATTGGCTTTCAAAAGCCAATAGAATAAAAGGGAGTAGCACAGCTAAGGAAAAGGGGAAAAAATGGCGGATTCCATTGTTTGGTGATCCCCGTGAAATAGTCTTTCGACCCCAAGTGGGGTCCCGACCCACAGGTTGAGAACCACTGCATTAGGACATATTGTCTAACTGCAACAATGGAATTAATTGTTTGTACTCTTTATGTTTTTCTGCATTCCCTACTCTCTCTTACCCCAAGCAACTCTCTTAATGTTTGTCCTTCTATATATCAACTATTCTAATATCATTGCAGCACTTGTGTCTCTGATGTTTCTGGCAACATTACAGAAATGCTTTGCAATGCTTTCAGGATTTTTTCCCCAACTGAGTCTAATCAACAGCTCTGAAAGTTTTGGCTAATCCCCAGTCCAACTTCAACCACCCAATGCGTAGCTTCTAAAATTAGCCAAGATGGGTACTTCATTGTAAAGTAGGACCACTGGAAGAACTTCTGTTTGTTTTAATAAAAATCCATGTTCTGTAAAATGGCATTTAGATGCAATCTATGAAATACAATTTCTAATTCCCTAGTCTCATTAGATAGTACATATATTCTATCTATCTATCTATCTATCTATCTATCTATCTATCTATCTATCTATCATCTATATATATCTACAGTATATATCTCTATCTCTACATCTAAATATATGTCTGTCTGTCTGTCTGTCTATCAGCCATTATATTAATTATAACTCCCTGAACTAGGTGATGTCCCATTTCTCTTGTACAGGGCTAATGAAATTAGAGGTTGAGAGGGATAATA